ATCATATATTGGATGCTAAGGAGAAATAACAACTAAATGCAATGTGGGATCCTGGATTGGACTTGGGAACAGAAAAAGCACAGTATAGAAAAACTGGTGAAATTGAACATGGCTTGTATTTCATTATTTAACTTGTACCAGTGTTAATTTTTTGGTTTAGATATAGATGCTGGATGAAGGAAATGAGGGAACTCTACACTATATTTGAAAGTTTTCTATAATTCTACAGTTCATAATACATAAAAAGTTTAATAAAAATATGCTAACTTGAAATAGATAAAAACTTAGAGAAATTTTGTTTGTTTGTTTGAGACAGAGTCTAACTATATTTCACACTGACCTTGAACTTAACTAGGTAGGCCCAGGCTGCCTGATCCTCCTGCCTTAGCTTCCCAAGTGCTGGGATTATAGGCATGTGCCACTACACACCAGGATTCACATTAGGGAAACTGAACTAAAACTAGGAATCACTATTGGAAATCTTAGCAAGTTGTTAGATTCTTTGTGCATTGCTGTTGCTTTTACATGGTCAGCCTAAACCAGAGATACAAGTCAAGATAATTGGGAGGGGATAGGGAGAAGCCTAAGAAGGAAAAGAAGTTTTTTTTGGTAAGAATAACTAGGAAAAGAAAACCTATATATATAGTATCTGAACTGCTCCAGGCTGCTATGGAAATTGTAAAAAAACAGTAGCCTAAGAAAATAATGGGGTTGGATTTTTTTCCTAATTTAAGCTTCCTTTTTAAAACTCTTTAAACCTCAAATTACCAGTTCGCAAAAATACTAAGAAGTGAGTGGAAAAATTATGAAAATACTACAAGATTTACTTAGAATTTTAGTTTGAACCACAAACACAAATATAGTAGGTGGTATAAAAATACCTAAACTTGGCATCAGGTCTGACTGTCGAAATCTGCCAGTTAAGCTTTAAAGCTTTGTTTGTGTTTTAACTGATTTATGCCAAAGATTGAAAGTTTTTGAATTTTTCTGTGAAATTGATGTTATGATGTAACATCTTGAAAAATTCGAGGAACAAGAATTTGAAGAGACCATATTCCATTATTTCCATTGTTATGGGTATTTCAAAAGTGAATCATGAGGCACTGAAGGGTTAAATTGAAGCTCTAGACAGAATTTGAACCATGGACTTTTGTTCTGGTAGGACAAAGTAGATATAATGTACTAGTGAATTTCTAAATGGCTGTTTTCCTTTATAGTCCCTTCACCTCCTCCATTAAGTATGTTGGCAGTGTGCACATGCATGCACATGCCTATTTTGTCAGTTCTTGACAAACTGCAGCAGCTGTTTTCTAGTTAAGGATTATGGTTTTTTTTTTTTTTTTTTTTTTGTCTTTTTCCTTTTTATCAGTACCGGGGATCAAACTCACTACTGCCTGCTTGCAAGGCAGGCGCTTATGCCGCTGAGCTAAACCTCCAGCCCCAGGATTGTGTTTTTTTTATCAGCCTATTTACCCTATAAGACAGTGTGTGCTAAATAGTACTAAATATTGTCATCTATATTTCTTCTCTTAGTGATGCTAAGAATTTCAAAATCAAAAATAGTTCCTTACAAAATAAATTGAAGACATTTTTCAGGGGACTTTGTTTTTATGTTTTCAACAAAGACTATGTTTTAGATTATGCAAAAAAAAGAAATATTTTTTTCATACTCCCTGATTTAGCATTACTAAGTTCATAGCCAGTTATGACATATGAAGCAAGCTCTTAAGATTTTACTTTGTGTATAGCACTTATCAGAGAAACTATTTCAAAGACATAAATGGTTATTGATAGGCTTTTGACTGTAATACTCTGGATGAAAATGTTTAAAATAGGAATTTAAGAGAGATCAGCGCATTTTTTAAAATATGCTTTTTTTTTTTTTTTTTAAGGCAGGCTGTTACTGTGTAGTATAGACTGGCTTTGAACTCAGCTCAGGCTGGCATCAAACTTATGGTGATCCTCTTGTTTCAGCCTTCTGAGTTCTGGGATTACAGTTGGGTACCACCATGTCCTGCTAAATGTGGGTACCTTTTGATTTTTGTATCATGTAGAATTTGGTTGAGGCAAAGGATATATTGCCTGTTAAAAGTGACCCTGATCCTGACTTAGTTTGAAACTTACTATCCTGCTACTGAAAAGAACAAGGGACTATTTTGATCAAAGATGAATTTGAAGATACTTATGAGCAATGACTGAAGTAGAATTTTAGAAAGGGTACATATTTAATATATATGAAGATTCTGTGGTTGATATAAATTTCAGTAGATTAAAAGAACTACATTTTCTATGCTGGTGTTAAAGTACTATTTTTTCCCCTAAATTTTCTCATAATAGTTTCAGAAGAATCTTTCAGTTATTTTAGTTCTTACACTCCAAAAGATGATTTGTTTTTTGTTTTGCGTGGAATTTGTGTTGCACAGAAGTTCTTTAAGCACTATTTTTTGCCCACTGTTGGAAATACTGGCATATTATAGGTCTTCCTAAATGTTGTATGATCTTTACAGATGATCTTTCTTACATTCATCTAAAAATGCTGTGCTTTCAGCTATAGCCATGGTTCCAATCTGGATATTTGGACATCTAGAAGACCTAAAAGATTTTTCTTTGTGTATCTGAAGTAATTGGCATTGAGCCTAGCACATCCGTTTCTCCTCAAACTACAGTAGGCTAATGGCAGTTTTAAAGGCATTGCCAGCATTTCTGAAATCTTATTTCAAATTAACTACTTTTGACTTAAAACTAATAGAATTATGAAAGGAGACAAATTCAGGGTATCATGTATTGTATTGAGTTTAGCAGCATACATCTGTAATCCCAACACTTGAGGGAGGCTAAGGCAAGAGAAACAAGAGTTTGAAGACAGCCTGGGCTACATAGGGAGATCTTCCCTCAAAGAATATTGAAAGTTTCTCTTTTTTTATTTTTAGTACTGTGCATTGAATCTAGGGCTTCACCCATGCTAAGCAGGTGCTTTACTACTGAGGTACATCTTAAGCCCTTTTGTAACTTTTTGAGACACGTTGTTCAGGCTGCTTCCAACTAGCTATCTTCTTGCTTCTGCTTGAATTTCCTGAAGTAGCTGGGATTACAGGTAAATATGTGCTACTGCACTGGGCTTCAAAGTTTGTAAACTAAGATTAATAACATTAGTTTTTGCTTTATTAGAAGTTCTGATGCCAGAGCTTTATGTCTGATTAATAAAAATTATAAAATTAAATCACTGCAAGAATGAAAATTAGTTTAACAGCTTGCCAAAATGAGGTTGAGGGATAGTAATTCTAGAAATAAAAGTTACCCTTGTTGGTAAAATGACCAGGACCCATTTGATGCTTAATGGTTCTGAACCATTTTAGATTCGTCAGGAGTTCATAAGTATGTACCATCTTCCTGGAAAAAAAATGGTAGTATTAGCCTATAATTTCAGTTATTTGGAAGGCTAAGAGGAGGAGGATCCTAAGTTTAAAGTCAACCTGGGCAAGATTAGGGAAATTTTAACTCAATATTTTAAAAAATTGGTTGGGAAATCTAGTAGTAGAGTGCTTATGTAGCATGTGTGAGGCCCTCTTAGATTGGATCTCCAGCATCTCCCCACCCCAGCCTCCAATAAAGTACATATGTGTTAGAGTTAGTAACAACTGCCCCTTCATGAGAGTCTGAGTTTATATTAATAAACTTAATTAAGGTGTCCCTAAGATGTTAGGAACATAGCAGGGTTTTTTATTTGGGGGCCTTATTGACTTTGGAGGGCAAGGGAGAAAATATTGGCTATCTTTTTAGAGCATTTATCTCTTTAATTTTTGGTTTTTAAACTTTAGTTGTTGAACTAAAGAAAAGATTAATGATAGTACAGCACAGTAGAGGCAGTAAGCTTGAAATATCAAAAAACAAGCATGTTAGAACATTAAATGGAACTGCTATTTTTTTGTTAACCATGGCTGTTTTATCATTTGAGATGATATTTTGTAACAGTTTGTATGTGCAATTTTATATGCAATTTCAGAGAATTCAGGATCCTAAATCTGTCTCTTTTTTGGGTGGGAAATTATAAGGGGTGATTTCTCCCACTTAACTGCATTATATACTACAATGAAACATATTGTATATTTTGTAATCAGCTTGTAAAAGAAAGAAAAGTTTAGCTTTCTGTTTATAAAGGGCAGTATTTCATGGTAGTTGACAGTACAAGTTCTAGAACCAGTCTGTCTAGATTTAATCTAGTTTCTTCTCAATTACTTATATGACATTGGGGAAATTGCCTCAATCAATCCATTTTGTAATTCTAGCATGGGAATAATAATCTCTCAGTGGGTTATTACAGATACAAAATTGTTAACACATGTAAAGTGTTCAGAACAGAAAGTGGTACATCCTCAATGTTAGCTATTGTTATTTATTTTTTAGGTATTGGTGTCTCAGCTATTGTTATTTCTTTTGTGTGTGTGTGTGTGTGTTTTTCCTTTTTATCGGTACCGGGCATCGAACTCACGACTGCCTGCTTGCAAGGAGGGCGCTTATGCCGCTGAGCTAAATCCCCAGCCCCCTCAGCTATTGTTATTAAATAGTATGGTCTGTTGTTAGTGAATTCCTGGCCATTCCACAGTCTTCTCTGGGCTGCATTTTGCCAGGAAGAAGGGTGTGTTTTTAAATTTGTACAAATGTTCCTTACCTAGATTCATTGATTCATGGAGTATGCCAAGGTAAACTTTTATATACCATCATTAAGTATGTCTCTTTTACCTATTTCCATGAAGAAAGCTTCCAGTTTTATTAGAAAAATAAAGTTCTACAGCCTCCTTTAGAATCCCTCTTTATTCTAGTATATGACACCCATTTTGTTCCTCAGCAGAGTTTGCTACTCTCCTGTCCATGATGTAATTTAATTTGATTTTGCTTATTAATTTCTCTATTGCTTTACTCTTTATTGAAATTATAAAACATTTAATAGAGATGGTACAGTTTATTAGGGTTTATAATATAGTGAACATTTCTTTGTCCAGTTAAAAGAGAAGCTTTATGTTTATCTTGGAAATTCTTTGAAGGCCTTCCCAGATCCTGACCCTTCCCTCTTCCATCAAAGGTAATTATCCTGGTTTGTTGCTTATCTTCTAAGTTTTACTGTGTAATTCATTGTTAACCACGTATCAATTTTACGTACTTTTAAAACATGTAAATGGAATATTTACATACAAATGGTTTTTTCTTTAAGTCTAGCATTATTGAGTTGCTATGTGTATTTATAATCCATTGTGTGGCAGTAACTTAATGTATTCATCTATTTTACTATTCATGGGTATTTTGGCTGTTTTGTGATTACACAGTACTACTATTAGGTTTTTGTTCATTTTTAAAAATACATTTGTGCAAGTTTCTTTAGTGTGTATGCCTGAAAGGGAAATTGCTAAGATTCAGGAAACTTTTGTTTTACTGGACGGTGGCAAATCAATTCTAAAAGTGATTTCACTGACTTACACTCCCATCTTTATAAAGTATAGATTGAAGTTACTCTTTATTTGCATTTATTTGAGATATTTCCATAAAGAAGGATGAATTCGAGTCATCTGTAGGAAAATGAATGGATCTGGGGGCTGGAGATTTAGCTCAGTGGCAAAAGCACCTGCCTTGTAAGCAGGCAGTTGTGAGTTCGATCCCTGGTACCGATAAAGAAAAAGACAAAAAAAAAAAAAAAAAAAAGAAAGAAAGAAAAATGAATAGATCTTGAGGCCATAATGTTAAGTGAAATCAGACAGGGTTGGTTAAATATCACATGGTTTCTTTTCCTTGAGAAAGCCAAACTATAAAGTGTAAAAATAGAGAATGGTAGGAAACAGGAAGGAAGACTTCCTGGAGGTGGAAAGTGAATCCGGAAATGTGTGTGTGAGGTGATTATGGAAAGTGATCAGGGTGTGATACATATGTACCAAGTCCCCAAGATGAATATGATTATCACAGATTCTTTTCTACTGACAAAATACTGTGTACTTAAGACAAAAAGCCTTGTAATACGTACTACAGCAAAATGATACAGTTTTTGTGGGAGAAATAAATGAAGAACTATTATTTCACTGACCTTAGAACCATGTGACAGTTTAAGCCTAAGCTTCCTGTGGTTATTGAGCTTGATTCTGGTGCTTTCAAGCAAAAAATGGTAGTGAAGCTGTGAATGTTGGTGGAGGTTGCAAATTGGGAACCTTTCCAGGAGCATTTCTGGGGTTCTTCTCTTCACTTTTGCTTAATCCATTAGCGATAAAGCTGAAGAACGAGTTGAGGCTGGTAATTGTTCACTTGGAAATCTAGAGACCCCCTTGACCCTTGCCTGTTTGGTTTAAGGAAGTAGGGGAGAGGTGGCTTGTCTGAAACATGGAATAGTGGAGTTCTCGTGTCAGGAATACTTGGAGCTGTGGTGCTTGCTTGCCTCTTAAGGTTGAAGGAATGAAGGTTGAATTTTGAGCCTTTAGAGCTTTAGAGCTTTCTTTTAACTTTTGCAAGTGGAGCTGTGAAGTTCTGGGGGACTGTTGGTTTTGCCTAAAGCATCAGTTTTGTTAACCAGTTAGCAGTTTCAGTGTCATTCAGGCAGGGTCACTTGGACAGCATGTTTATTTACATACTAACTGTCCTGAGCGTTGCTTGCGCAGGTGTCATTTCAAACAGGTGATTCTTGTAGTTGAATAAACTTAATAAAATTGTCATTTTATATTTACTGTAAGAAAATTTTATATTCTCCTTAAAAAATACACAATTTTTGGTTGCCTTGTATTTAAATAATTGGATTGGTAAGTGGTTAATTTTGTCTGCCTGGTAGGTGGGAGAATGGTATTTTCCTGTAATTTTAATTGCACTTAACTGGTTTATTCTAACAATTCAAAATTGTCTTTTAAATGACAAGCTTAGTCGTGTGGCATAACTTTTATCATTTATGTTTAATGAACCCCACAGTTGGGATTTTATTCACTGTCCATATGTGTTATAACTAGACTCAAGATTTAATCCAGCAACTGAAATTTTATGCGATTAAAACTCTTGTCAACAGAAATGCAGGGAAATCTATTATTCTCTATCTTGTCACTACAAATAAGTCCTCGAGTTAGCAACCATACCTTTTATTCACCTTAGGGAGCTACATTGGTAGCCCTCACTCATTTATTGTCACCTGACCTCAAAAAATACATCTGTATAGCTGTGCTGACTGTTTGTGACCTTCTTTGTGGCTCCCTTTTAAAATATGGGCTCCTTTTCCTAGACTGTCAGTCTCTTCAGGTGTCTTTTGCAACTTGCCATTTTAAAATTGAGAATCAAACTATTCTTGAGAGTCTATAAGGAAAATGGTTTGGCTGGCTGCAACTAAGGCTGTAACTCCTGCATTTCAGGCCAGTTCTTTATACAGTACAACTACCTAATTGCTCCCCAGTGACCTTTATTCTCACGATTGAGCTTCAGTTTACAGAAAGAACACTGGAGAAAGCCAGAGTATATATTTTGATTGGATCATTTGTAATGGACCCTAGGTAACCATCTAGTTGTTCCCTGTATCCTGTTCTGCCACTTGTTTACATGTCCCACTCAGTGTTGGGGAGGAAGTGCAAAAATGATGATAGCATCTGCAAATTCTAGCTGATTGACTACCTTTTCCAAGATAACTTAGGGCTGTTGTTCAGGGCAATACCTTGCTTGCTTTCTTGTATGACAGTGTGTATCAACCTATAAGATACAGGTGAGCAGTGAGATCTACTTCATTTGTTTCTTTTTTCAGCTTTCAAAAATGTTATTATTGAGTGTCCTATTAAGACTATTAGCTAATTCAGTGGTACTTTGGTTTTCTCAGCAAATCTGGACACAAACCAGACTGGATGAGGACTGAATCAAATTAACGCATAAGGTCAATGGTGACTCTTAGCATTGAATGTGATTCATTTCTCATTCAACTCAGTTTGCAATCAGAATCATGGAAAGAATCAACAAATTTTTGTGAACTGAGGTACCACAAAATTTTGTAAGCATTTTCCTGGCTGGATTGAAGTCTGTCATAGACAGGCTTTCATTGTTCATGTTATCATACACATTATAAGAATATATATGGTACTCATTTTACAGAAGAGATACATTGCTGATCTCAAAGTTTATCAAGTTAAGCTTAATTTTACAGACTTTATTATACCCAAAGTACTAGAAAGACATAAAGACGAAATAAGTTACTAAAAAAAATTGAGTCCTAGTGTAAATATTAAATGATCCAAAATCCTTCCTATTGCCCATAGGAGCATAAGAATAGTTCCCAACAGATAAAGTAGTTTGAACTCATACGAAATTGTCATGGGAAAACACACCAGACTGTTGTCATCTATCTTAACTGACCCAGATAATTTCCAAATGCATGCTTCTAATAGTATTGTAACTGCAAACCCCATATGAGTCGTCTGAAGTTTTATCATTTACAGGTACGTGTCGCATTCCCAGATCCTTCAGCCAGCTCGACACCTGCTACTTCTCTGTGACTTGATCCAGATTAAGGTTCTCCCAAGACACACTTCATTGGATCCAAGTTCAAGAGGACTGCCAGGGTTTCCTGAGCCCCTACATCGCTGTAAAGTGCCAAGGCCTTAACACTTGGTTATGTGTATTACAACGGCAAGAGTTCCAGCACCAGGAAAAAAGACTTGTTGGACTTGTCAGCTCTATATCACCAAGTATCAACAAAGTAGAGGAAGCCAAGTTCCTCTGTGTGACACCATCACCATCAGATAAAACCCAAGGAAAAAAATAACTCATTTAGACTAGAGCCCTATCTTTTCTTGAGAAGCTGAGATTTGGAGGAATTATTCTAAAATCTGTGCTGCTAGTAAGTAACTGTTAACTTTCTACACTGGATTGGCCCCTGAATTCAGAGACTATTGTGATTGAGTGAAAGACCACAAAATCTTGAACAATTATACTGGTGAGGTGCAAGCCAAAATTAACCCTCTTCTAATAATGTTTGTTGAACTTAGAAGTTGCTAAGCCAAGCTGGTAACAGGACTGGTTATTTGGGCCTCTTTCTGTCATTTTTGCTTCTTGGTGTTAACATTGCTGTCTGTAGTGTCTTTCTAAGTCCAGATGTTTTCAGATAATTCACATTGTCCTGATTGTGGACAGCAGTGGTTTCCTAGTTTAGAACTAGGCCACTGGTTGTACCAAACTGAACTTGTTGAAAATGAATGTTACCAAGTCTTTTTAGACCGTATTAATAGAGCTGATTATTGCCCTGAGTGTTATCCTGATAATCCTGCTAACAGAAGCCTTATTCTTCCTTGGTCTTTCCCACTTGAGTGGGCACCTCAGAATCTCACCAGGTGGACCTTTGAAAAAGCTTGCCATCCTTTTCTTTTGGGTCCTCCACTGGTTAGAAAAAGAATACATGACTCCAGGGTAGCTGGTTTTAACCCTGCATTACAGTTAATCTTAACCAGAACAGACAAAACCTTAAACAAAAAATTTGGTCAAAGCAAATAACTTCTTCTTTTTTTTTTTTTTTTTGTCTTTTTCATTTTTATCGGTACCGGGAATCGAACTCACGACCGCCTGCTTGCAAGGCAGGTGCTTATGCCGCTGAGCTAAATCCCCAGCCCCTACCTTTTTTTTATTGGTACCGGGGATCCGAACTCACAACTGCCTGCTTCCAAGGCAGGCGCTTATGTCGCTGAGCTAAATCCCCAGCCCCAAAGCAAGTAACTTCTATCATGGCAAAATCATGGCATTTCTAGAAAGTTTTGTGCTAGTAGCCTAAGAAAGATGAAGAAATTTCTCCTTTTCTGTTTGTGGTGCTGGGAATCAAAACGGGCCCCATGCGTGCTCATAGGCAAGCGCATTCCAGAACTATGCTTTCAGCCTTTTATTTGTAAATTTGATCCTAATTGTCACTGTTTAGGGGAGTTCCTTAAATAGTTTAGTCTTTGTCTGTGACACTTACTTTGTGCAGCATGAATTTAGTCAGTATTCCAGACAGACTGTTCATCTAGAACCAGACTAAACGATAATCTCTACAACTGATGTTTTGAAACAATTTTGTCTCGTCTAAGAAGTTCCAGAGCTTAATTATTGACATATGACAAGGTAGTCCTGAAAGGCAAGCCTTATATTGTGTGCTCTGTAGTTGTATTTTATAACAGTAACTTCTGTGGGAAAAGTTATTCATTGTTGCTGGTTTCTAGATTATTCCAATAAATTTTAGTAAGAAACTATGATGTTTTAAATTCCCCTTTATCAATGAGTAAGATGTATGTGTTGTGTGCATGTGTATAATTTATTCATAAATAACTTTATTCCTCATTGGTTTTGTTTGGTCCATCCTTAGAGTAGTTGTCAGAAATTAATAACTGGTCATTATCTGCAAGGCAATACAACATAGGTTACACAAAAAGATGTAAAGATGTTAAAATGCTGCCTGTTTACGTTCACTTAGTTCTACAAAACCAAAGACTATCCTATCTTTGTGGTGACTGAACTTAAAATATCCTTCCTGGAAATGGAGAAATACTTGCATAATGAGATTTATGAAAAAAAGATTTATCAAGATTCCATATATAGCCGAGGGTTTAGCTCAGTGGTGTAAGTGCCTACCTGGCAAGCTGATACCAAGAAAAAAAATTTCCTTATATATTCTGAACAGTCTTATGGAAGCATCTTTTTTTTAAACTAAGTGTCTTGCTAGACAATGGCCACATTCTTCTGGCCTGTGTTCATGAAAGTCCTGAAACCAGTATTTCAGTTAGGCTACTTTGAAAAAGCTCTTTAAAATCTCTCAGGAGCCATGGAACAATTCCACTTTAGAGGCTAGGTAATCTAGTGCTTAATGTAGCAGGTCAAAGATGTTATTAAAGACTCATGTTCCTTTTGTCCTCTCTTCTTGAGATCCTTTTTGTTCTCATAACTGTTTCGTCAATGAGTGGCATATAGGAATATATAAGGAAATTTTTTTTCTTGGTATCAGCTTGCCAGATGTTAGAATTTTAGTAGCCTATTTATATTTATATTTTAGTGGAATTCACTATCTATATGAACTATTGCATGACTATTTTAGAATAATCTGCAATATTTTAAGCCATACTACAAAGACCTAAACTGAAAGTCACAAAGGCTTATTAAATTTTTTCCTTTATGAGCTCTACCATAATGACAATGATTTCTGAGAGCCATATAACCATGTAACATATGCATGACAATATAATCATTTTTGAAAACAAAAGTATCATTTTTCACTGCAACATTAATTTTTTTATTCCTTTCACTGTCCATATACTTACTGCATAATGTCACCAAACAAAACTGTTTGTGGTAAGGTCTGGGACAGTCCTCATTAATTAGGCAGGAAAATATGGCTAAGTTACGATCTAAAATATCATCAGGGACTTTCATATACTGGAAACCTCTTTACATGTCACTGGCAAAGAAAAGTGTAATAAACAGTATAAAGTATAATAAACAGCTGAGTATAATTTATTCAAAATGCTGTGACCAGAAATGTTTCAGATTTCAGAGGTCTTCAGATTTTGGAATACCTTTCAGTTTAGGTCTTTGTAGTATGGCTTAAAATATTGCAGATTATTCTAAAATAGTCATGCAATAGTTCATATAGATAGTAAATTCTACTAAAATATAAATAGGCTACTAAAATTCTAACATCTGAGATATCTCATAATCTAAATTGTGCCAGCCATAGTAGTCTCTACTTCATCATATAGAAGAAAAGATAATGTTACTCATAGTGGTGACATTTCCAAGATGACCATTATAACTACTTCCTGGTGAGTTTTTTTTGGAGGGTACTGGGGATCGAACTCATGACTGCACGTGTGCAAGGCAGGCACTTATGCCACTGAGGTAAATCCCCAGCCCCTACTTTGGGTTATTTTTAATGACACACTTGGGAGTGGAAACATCGTGGGACAGATAGGGAAGGTATATTTACCAAATAAATGACTTCATGAGATGTGAGTAACAGATAAGATTCATCTTTTAAGTTACAAGAGGAGGCCCATGTAATCACACAGGCAAAAAATAAGTCTATGGCGACAAAAGAGTAGGTGACAGTTTGCATTTCATGGCTGTCTATAAAAGTGAGATTTGCAGTATTACTTTCATCTTTCCAGTTTTTCCCTGGAAACTCTTAGACATGACTTAAACTGCTGGTATTTTTGTTTGTTTTGTACTGGGAATTGAACTCATGATCCTGCAATTTGCCACATAGGTGCTGTGCTGCTGAGCTGTATTCCTAGCCCCTGAAACTGCTTTATTTTTGAGACAGGGACTCACTATGTGGTTTAGGTTGGCTTTGAACTCACTAGCCTGAGCTGAACCTGCAGCAATCCTGCCTCAGCCTCCTAAGTGCTGGGATTACAAGTCTGGGCCTATATGTCCAATTTGAAAACAGCTTTTTGTGGAAGAAAAGTAATCATCTTTCGGCCAGCTGGCCTTGTTATTTTTAATTGTGACACTATTAAATGACCTAAGTACTGTATTTTAAGATGTGTATCTACTTTCTTTATCTGTGAAATAAGTACATTACTTATCTCATTCTGTTGTGAGATTTAAATGCGATGATATTTTGCATAATATAAAGACTAGGAAATGTTAAGAAAATAAGGTAAAAACTAGAAGTAAAGAATAAGGTGAAGTTTTAGTTTTAGAAGAGGATAGAAGCCAGTTAGAACTTGGTCCTGAATTATTAAAAACTTCAACCTGCTGAAGGAAAAGATTGGTCTTGGGACTAACGTTGAGCCTGTAATTGTGAGTCAAATGTTGTTTGCTAAAAAGGTAAAGAGGCCTGGAGCGATGGATGCCCCAACACAGATTCTTACCACGGTTTTAGACCTGCTTATAATTATGGCAGATGTAAGTGCTTTTTATGATTTATTACCTGAGACTTTTTTCAACAGTGGAATAAGCAGGTTGAGAAAAGTTGAATGCTCTGTCACTGTTGAAATCTAGTTCACATACCTCAGAGTCAGGGTGCTGTGTAGTACATTCACTGTATGATTTTAAGTGTTTTGGGTACCATAACCAGATTACCTTAAATTCAAATCTTGACTGTCTTTCACAGTTGTGTGTCTTTCGAGTAACGTTCTTTTTTATTTATTTATTTATTTATTTATTTTTTGTCTTCTTCGTTTTTTATCGGTACCAGGGATCAAACTCACGACTGCTTGCTTGCAAGGCAAGCGCTTATGCCACTGAGCTAAATCCCCAGGCCCTTGAGTAACGTTCTTAAGCCCTATATGTTTCTTAAGCTGGAAAGTAATATTTTATGACTGTTTGAAGTTTAGATGGATTAGTGTATGAAGTACTTGTGCTTGGCATAAAAAAGACCCTCAATAAATGTTAGCTGTTGTTTGTTTTATATGTTATCTCCACAGCAGGGTTGTAAATTGCTTGTTTCATTTTGTTCTAAGAGTCTATAATATCACAGTTTACCAAAATAGAAAAAAATTTAATTACATAGACTTAGTGTTAAGATCCTGCTGCCCTGCTAGCTCTGATTTTTGTCACAGGCAACTTTTCTTTGTCCTGTTCTTTTTAACTAGTTATGACAAATTGTATAGGAGGCTGTGGTTGAAATATACCATTGTATGGGGCTGGGGATTAGCTCAGCGGCATAGGCACCTGCCTTACAAGCAGGTAGTCATGAGTTCAATCCCTGGTACCAGTGAACAGATTTAAAAAAAAAAAAGAAATATATCATTGTAATATAAGTTCGTTGCATGTGCTTTCAAAATTATTATAAACCCTTTTTGCTTGTTTTCTTACAGAAGTGAATGTATTTTGTTACTAATTTAAAAAAACACTAATTATATTAAACAGAAAAGTGCATAAATAACAAAACACCTGTGTACTCAATCTAAAATAAATTAATAATATTTTAAAATAAACTTTCTAGTTGAAATTCACTCTTGTTCCTTGCAGGAATAAGCAGTAGATTGAAGTAATTGTGTATCCTTTCTATATATCTGTTTATTTTAAAAGTATTTATTCATATATGTAAATAATGTACAAAATGACAGAGAATCCACTACTTTAAAATTATTTCAGATGTATATATAAACATAATACAGATCAATTTTTATTTACACTTAATAGTAGTTAATATTTATGTCGCAGTTTTGTAAACTTGGCTTTGGGATTGCAATGCAGTGTTGATGAACCAAACAATGGCATTTTCTAGGTTAGTAAAAATCTATTATAAAACGCGATTAATCAGAAAACTTGTATACATCTTAAAAGATAGGACAGGAAAACCATGTGTGTAGATGTAGCACTGAGACAAATTGGTATCTGTCTTAAAAGAAGTTTAGGAAATTAGAACCAAGCAAGGCATTCCTTACCTTATCTAGTAAATGAATAAATTTTACAGATTTGAACTATTCCAAGCACCAATGACACAAAGTGATCATATTTTACTGCAGATTTCTGGATCACCAGGAAGTGGAGATGACGTTCAGAGAATGAGGATTTTTTTTTTTAAGTAGAAAAATGAATGATTACCATTTTCCCCCATGTGATGCTTAAGTCTAGTATTTCATAATTGAATATAAGGATTTTCTAAAAGTAAATAGGTTTGTGCCCACATAGGTCTTGGTTTTTGTCTCTGATGTTGTTTTTTTTTTGTCTTTTTCCTTTTTATCGGTACCAGGGATTGAACTCACGACTGCCTGCTTGCAAGGCAGGCACTTACGCCGCTGAGCTAAATCTCCAGCCCTCTGTTGTTGTTTTTTTCTTTGGTATTGTGAATCGAACTTAGGACCTTCCAATTGCCAGTCAGGTGCTGTTCTTGCTGAGCTATATCTCTAGCCCCACACAAAGGTTTTTATCAGTTATTTGTTGCAAAAGATGTCATCAAGATTCATTTTTGGAAATGATAATGGACTGGTTTTTCTTATAGCAAGAGAAAGTCTCTGACAGCTCCATTTTTATTCAAGATGAGATTCCGCTTCACTTTTCATTCTGAAGGTCCTAGTGAACACATTTCCTGATACTGATTGGACACAGTTTAAATGATCTGTCTCTAAAACTGATCTCCACCTCTTCCAGATACTTAATCATGTGACTTTTTGTGAGGATGTGTTAAGAACTATGTTTGTACCATTTCTTCCTCGTAGCAGTGAAGGGAATACCATTTCAACTAAGGACAGTGATGAGGTGTTATGAGTCCAAATGAAGCTCGAGGATTGATGTGTGCTTGTAACAAGAAAGGTATATGTTAAGCATTTGTAGAAATTAAGAAATATTCTTTTGCTGATTCTTTTTTTACTGTAGTATAATTAACAAAATGTGAAAGCATTTCGTTTGCTTTAAAATGTGAGAATACTTATAAGTAAATATATAGACTATTAATTAAGTTACATAGTAAATGGAAATTTCATTACCCCAGAAGGTTCCTCATGTTTTCCAGCCAATACTTCTCCCAGTAACCACTTAGTCTGTTTTCTGTCACTGTAGATCACAACTATTTTCTTATGCCTAACTTTCCATATATGGAGTAATTTTGCACATATTTGTACATGGGACTTACTTTACTCATAGTTTTTAGATTCCTCCATGCTGTGGCATATAAGGGTAGTTGATCATTTTTAGCTCTTCGTTTATTTCTTTTTGAGTCACTGTTTAGCATTATGTTCTTAAAATTTTATATAAATGCTGTAATGATGTGCTTTTGCTTTTTTAAAAATTTTAGAGAGAATACAAACAATGAAATACAATAAACTCAATACAAAACAATGAAAGTGATGCAGGATTTCAAAACAAGATACTAGGAAATCAACAATGGCTATCATAATGCCTTTTGTTATCGTCAAAATAGCTGCACATACCATCAGAGATAATAAAATCAAACAAAACAGCAGATTAAAACCAATCAAAACAAAACAATGAAGGTGATACAGGTCTTCAAAATAAGATAATAGAAATCAACAGTGGCTACCTTGTACCTTCAAAATAGCTTTTTATCAGACATAAAATCAATCAGAAATCAAATAAAACAATAAAACCAAACAAAACAATGAAAACAATATAGGACTTCAAGATAGGAAATTAGGGCTGGGGGTTTAGCTCAGCGGCATAAGCACCTGCCTTGCAAGCAGGTGGTCGTGAGTTCGATCCCCGGTACCGATAAAAATGAAAAAGACAAAAAAAAAAAAAAAAAAAAAAAAGATAGGAAATTAACATTGGCTACCACCTTCCCTTTCTTGATAGTTTGTTCCCTTTTCACTTTCATAGTATCTATTGTACATTCTGGATCCCACAAACTCCTTCAGTTTTTTATATTAGGGAGACAACACGATGTTCACCTGCTGAACCATTTCACCTATAAGCATGATCTCAACTTGCATCCATTTATCTATTAAGAGCCTCGAGACTTTTTTTTAAATACCTGAATAACTGGGCATTGTATAAAAATATCATCTCTTATCCATTCTGTGATTGATAGGCAAGTTACCTTTGCTATTTGCTAGATCCCCATTGTATGAAGCATTGTCTTTTCTCCTCCACCCTTCCGTCCATGAATTTCCTTTGAGTCAAATGTGTTGTATACAGCCTATTAATGGGTCCTGTTTCCTGATCCACTCCCTATGTTTCTTTTTATTGGTGAATTGAGGCCATTTACATTAATGGTTATGACTGACATGTACTGGCTCATGTCTGCCATGCCATCCTCCTGCCCTTGGCCCACCACTTTTCCCCTCCACTTAGTTGCCTGCTCTGTTCAGTGATCCCTCTCTGCTACTATTGCTGGAACTATGGTCGTCTTTGTCTGTCTCTCTAATATCCTTCACTGCTCTTTGTAGGGTTGGTTTAGTGGTTATGAATTCCTTTAATTGTTCTTTATCATGAAAGTATCTTTATTTCTCCATTAATTTTGAAAGATAGTTTTACAGGGTACATCAATCTGCACTGGAAATTGTTTTCTTTCAGGACTTGAAATGCTTCACTTCTTGACTTGATGGTTTGTGTTGAGAAGTCTGTCATGATTCTGATCAGTTTCCCTTCATAGGTGATCTAGTGTTTTGTTCAACAGCCTTTAGCATTCTGTTCTTTTGCTGAATTTCTGGGATCTTGATTACTATATATTGAAGTGTAGATTTATTTTTGTATGGCTAGTATGTTCTGTGTGCCTCACTTATCTGTAGGTCAGGTCCTTTTCCTATACTTGGGAAGTTTTCTGCTATTTCTTTTGTAAATAGTCTTTTTATGTCATTTATGTTGACCCTTTTTCACTGACACCTAGCACTCTAAAATTATTTTTCTTCACAGGGTCTTATGGCCATTGCATTGTATTTCCTGGTTCCTTGCTGTTCTTGATATTTTTCCTTTTATGATAGCTAGCTGCCATCCTGTCCTTAAGATCTGAAAATCTGTCTTCAGTTTCTTTCAAGTAGTTTTGTCAGCTTTCAGTCGAGTTTTTAATTTCCTGGATATTTCTTTCAGTGTTTCATGGATTGTAATTCTTTTCTATCTTGTTCACTCAAGGTTTCCATCATTTTCCTGTGCGCCTCTTGTTTTTTTTAAAAAATCTATGTCTTATTTAGATATGCTCAACAGTTTTTTCATTATGTTTGTCCTTTTTTTACCTGAGATGGTATTTCTGATCTGATTACTTTTACAGTCTTGTGAAGATGTTTCTTTACTTCAGTTGCTATCTTTTCAGAAATTTCAGGTGTGTAACTTCCCAATTTATTGCATGTCTGTGTCTCCTAGAGTTGTTCTGTGTGGGCTGGAGATTGCTTTTCGCTCCTTTGTCTTGACATTTTCCTGGGTTCTTCTGGGTGAGGTAGTTGTGGCGTCCCAGGTACTTGCCATATCAGCTTCCTATTCATAGTGTAGGGAAATGGGAGAGGCACCTGGGTTTCTCCTGATTTTGGTTCCTGGGGAGGTGGTGGGGTTTGGGGCAAGTTTATCCAAATGGGCAGCTCTGCTTTTACTTTTTGAGTTGTAGTCTAATTCATTGATTTTAATTGTTGTGTGTAATGTTACATTATGAGAGAATGCTATAGTTTTTAAACCCATTTCCCTATTAATGAATAATTACGTTTTTTAGTTTTTCGTTGTTTTAAAGAATACTATAGTAGACATGCTTGAGTGTATGAATTTCTCTAGTACATGCCTAAAAGTGGAGTTGCTGGTGTGTAAATTACAGTATACATATATGTCTTGACTTTATTGCTGTGTTGCTTCCCCACTTGGTAGAAACAGTTTCCTTTACTGTCAGTAGGGTTGACAAGCTCTCTATCTTCGTATCCTCACCAATACTTAGCATTGGCTGGCTCTTAAAGTTTTACTAGTCTACTGGTTGTGAAATGGCATGTTACTGTTAACTTTTTTGCACTTTATGCTTTTCACAAATCATTAGGCTTTTGGTTTTCGCTTTGTTGATCTTATGCCTCTTTTTTGCCCACATTTTATTTCATTCCAAGCTGTGTTTTATAGATTTGTGGGAGTCTTTATATATTCTGGATATTAATTCCTTATTGGTTATATACAATGCAGATATTTTCCTAGTTATTGTAATAGCAATAAAAAGAAAAGCTGAAAGCCCAATTCCAGGAGCTTGAAAAGGATAAAAAGGATGACAAAGAACCCTCCAAATCTGAGACATTCTCCTAAAGTGTTTACAGCAGTAGAAGGGTCATTGCTCCCTTCCTTTCTAGTGTATGTACTGAATCACTTTTATTATTCATAGATTAATTTTTTGTGTGCTTTTAAAATAAAATTGAATTCTTACAATATATGGGGCATGGCATTTGGAAGTTAACCTTTAATTTATAAAATTTAAGTTGTGTGGAAGTACTATGAGACTACAAAGGATAGTTAGCCTCTCAATCTGTAAAGAAATGTAAAAATTTATAAAACTCTTTCACATATATTTTTTTATTTAATCCTTGTATCGTTACTCTCATTTTTATAGGAAATGAAGATTAAGTAAAGGAATGATTTTATTTTTTCTATTACTGGGCATTAGACATAGGGCCTTGAACATGCTGCAAGCACTCTGCCACTCAGCTGCATCTCCAAAACCCATCTCCCTCTTTCCTTTTAAAAAAATCTTATTTTAATGGAGTCTTGTTAAATTGCCCGGGTTGGCCTTTAGTTTTGTGATTTTTTGTTTGTTTGTTTTTTTACCAGTGATCAAATTCACAACCTTACGCTTACCAGGCAAGATCACTCACCCAGCTCAACTTGTTTTAGACAGTAAGATTTAACTATAAAATAGGCTGATTAAGTTTCTGTGGCTTTGTCCTGTGCTTTTGATTCTTTTTTACAGAGCTAATACTCTTACTGTCTTTGATCATTAAGTAAAAGTTTACTTATTTCCATAATTTGTGAACGAATGCTAGGAAAGCTACTAAGAAGTCAGTGGCATAATTCCACATGTGTACTTCCTACCCCCTCAAGGCAGTAATCACAGTTTGTAGGTAGTACTTGTGCATTGTTACTTGTTAATAAGTGAATGCTTTTGATTAGCATTCTCTAAGAAATTAACATGAGACAAATTGAAGACGTAAAGGAAGTCTACAGTGATTGCCTCAATGGTGATTTAAATTTCTCCTCTCAAGTATTTTTTAATTTCTGGACTATTCTCTTGAAGATTCTGGTGTTTTTATACTTTTTTGATTACAGTGTAATATATTTGGTGGTTGTAACATCTGTGCAAGATGAATAGTGTAAAGCTTTCTTTTTGTGGTATAGAATTTAGAATATGGTCCTACTCAAAGCTAGAAAGCAATTTTCTTTACTAAAGAGGTTTCAAGGAGCAAATATTACACTGGACTAAAGAGGTTTGATAAATAATGCTGAAATAGGCATTTAGCCTTGCCTTCGTATGAATAAAAAGTCATATAATTTTTTCCATTTTATTTTAGTCACTGTATTTTTCCTGGGTCCAAGGGAAGCATGAGTATGTTGGGAATTGAACTAGAAGAAAACAAGATATCTTCACAAAGAAACCTAGGCGATAAAAAAAAGTAGCCCAAACTCTGAAGAGAGAGAGCAGAACCATGATGGACAGTGGACTTAGGGATCCTCCAGAGGGTAAGACTAGTTTGTATTATGGAAAATTAGGGCTTTGGTAAGAGAGAATATCTTTGATGAGTGAAACTTGAAATTTTGAAGTAAAAAAACTAATTCAGCGGATTCATTTGTTAAGATTATTTTTATTTTTTTCCTGTTCACTGGATTTTACTACAATACCAGAACCAAATTATAATATAAGGAAGGTAAATGTTTTAGAGACTCCAATAGCGAATGCCTATAATATTGACAAAATACAGTGAATCCTTAAAAAAGATGGTAGATCTTTACACGTTTATATAATCCAAGAAACTTGTGCTGTATATGTTTAGTGGAGATATTTCAATTGTAGGTAAAAATGAGATTGTCTTTATCCTGCTTATAAGCTATATAAAATAGGCAAAATAATCAATAGATTTTTCTGAAGAGAAAGAAAACATGCTTGTATTACATCTTTAACTATAAGAAAATTATAAAAGTAGAACAGCATAATGAGCTTTCTACCTGCTCAACATCCAGCTTCAATCTTAGCAACGTAATGCTGATCTTGTTGCCTGCCCTGGATTATTTTAATGTAAATCTAAGATACAATATTTGTAAATATTTATTTGTAAATATTTTATATCTCTTAAAGATAGTTTCTTTTAAAAAAAATAGCCAAAAATCAAGTAGTTATAATTTCTTAATAACATTACATATCCTGTCAATATTTATACTTTATGAATTTCCAAATTGTCTCATGATTTGTTTTTCTTCACAGTTGGATCCTCCATCCACTTTGCATTTGAACCACATATTACATTTTATTAATGCATTGCTTAGGTTGCTCTTTTTAAAAAAAGCTTTATTATTATAATATTTCAAACATAAAAGGAGAGATACACTGAACCTTTATGTACTCATTGAAGAATTTTGTTTGCTGTATACATAAAAGGAGAGATACACTGAACCTTTATGTACTCATTGAAGAATTTTGTTTGCTGTCAGCATGCCTGATGCTGTTTCGTCTTCACTCTCTCACTTCTCTCTTCCTAACTTCTAGATACCCTGTAATTTTCTTGCCTGTGTATCTCTAGAAATTAAGTATTCTTTTTCAAAACAAATTATTCACCTGAAAGATGAGTAATACTGAAGATTGTCAAATATCTGCCAGACAGATTTTCCTGATTGTCTCATAAATGTTTTTTTCAATGATTGGCTTATTCAGAACTGGATCTATATGCTACAGCCCACACATATTTACTTGCTGTGCCTTCTTAGATAGCTTAACCCTGTTTGTTTTTTCTTTTCTTGACATTTATTTTTATTATTTGCTAATTACATTCTTGGATACTAGGTATGAGCTCTGGAAGCTCAATCAAATTCAAGTTTAATTATTTAGCAAGAATACTTTATTGGAGGGATAGGAATCTTCCTATTGCACTGTACTGGAAGGTTAATGATAACTGGTTCCCCCATCACTGCCTTTTATTTTTTTTTTTGGTCCTGTTAGGACTGGTTAGTGAGTACAGCATTTTTCTGGTTCACCCATGATAAAATTGCCTTTGGCATGATGATTTGAGTTGTCATTGATAATCATTAACTTTCATTAGGGAAGAGGACATATTTAATATAACCAAAACTTACTTCTGTCATTCAAAATTATTTTACATTACTATTAGTTGTTAGATTTACTAATATAATAATGTTTGTTTAATTACCTTTAGTGGGATGCAAACAAAATAAAAGAGTACATTAGAAGCCACTATATAAATATTAATCAGGGACTTGTTAAATACAAAAAAAATTGTTGAAATTTTTTTAGTGAAAATTACAAATTTTTATCTCACTAGACTCTCGTTTGGCAAGTGATCCATCAGTAAATTCTCAGGAACAGGAAACTACAGTCACAGCAAATTCCACTGAAGAAGCTCAGACCTCATTCCCTGCCTCTGGTCTTAACAAAGACCACCAAGAGTTGGAGGCAGAAAGTCCAGCAAGTCCAGACACAGAGCTGGAGGCAGAAGGTCCAGCAAGTCCAGACACAGAGCGGGAGGCAGAAGGTCCAGAAAATCCACACACAGATGAGAAATCAAAAAGCTTGGATGAAGCAAATTTTGGGAAATATCCAAAAGATAAAAAAGAGGATGAGAACAACCTGAGTTTTCAGGATGGGGAACAAAAGAATCACCTCCCTTTGGAAAATCTGGGTGAAGAACCCTTGAATTCAGATGCTAATTGTTTTCCAAGTGGCAGGGGAAGAACAGATGAAAACCTGGGGAGCAGCTGTGCCTTTTTTCCTGAGGAATTAAATTATGAAACTGAAGCATCTCAGGAACCATCCACTGTAGTCTCCCAGGAGGCCCAAAGTGCTGGTCATTCCATAGAGGAGAGCCAGGACTCACTGAGGAGGCGATGGCCTGCACCAGGTGAGCGAACCCACTGGAGTACTACCCTGCTTTGTTTTGCCTTGTTGCTGAGAACATAGCTAAGTCAAGACTGTTCAGAGAACTTTTATCTTTTTTGTGTTACTGGAGATTGAACCTAGGTATTAAGACACTTGTTGCTGAGACACAATACCTGACACCTGCTTCTTATAGGAGGAGAGTTTTATTTTGGGTCATAGTTTAACAAGTTTTAGTCCATGGTTGGCAGGGTTAAATGTAGAAATGATATGATGGAAAGGCCTGATATGAAGGGAATGAAGAAGTTAGGTCTTTGTAGCTTTAGCTTCTGATTATATATGTGGATCTGAATTTTATATCTACTTTAAGATCTCAGTTCAAAATGCACATTAACCAGGTGTGGTGGTGCCCCCCTGTAATCCCGCACTTGGGAGGCTGAGGCAGGAAGATCATCAAGAGTTCAGGGCCATCCTGGGCTACATAGTGAATTTAAGGCTAGCCAGAACTATATAGTGAGACCCTGTCTCAAAACAAAATAAGCATATTTTTCGGTGCAAAGGAACATAAAATATGTGACATTTTGTTCACCAAGGGCTTGACCAAAGGCAAATAATTTATGTATCACTGCAAATCAGTGAATAATTTAAAATACATGTTTCATTAGGCATTAGAATAGTCTGTGAAAGCAGGGACTATGCCCCCGTTTTCATTGTGTGTCTCGTATCTGGCCACAAAAGCAACTTTATGGATGTTTGTCAATGAATGACTGAATGTAATTGAACAGAGCATTTTCTGGTGTCAGAGTTTGCAGTTTTACTGTTAGCAGAAAAAGAGAACACTGTTTAAAAAGTACAGTTTATGTGTAAGGAAAAAACCTAATATAGTGAAATGCCATCATGCCTGGCACAAATGAACTAGTCTATAATCTTTCTTTGTGTAAAATTTTACAAAATGTGGAATTTCTTTTAGTCAATTTGGTGAGAAGTATAAAGATATAAGCACTTTGAATTAGTATATTGTCTAAAATACTATTTTTTAAAAAAAATTTTCCTCCCAGAGACTGAAAGTCATGAACATGAAACACGTACATTGGGAGAAACCAAAGAGATGGCACGGGATACCACAAAGATTAAGAAAAAGAACGTTTGGAACTATGGTGAGAAGAAATCTGGATGTATTTTTATTTTTATTTTATTTAAAAAAAGATTAAGATAAAAGAGAACATAACAACACAAGTCAGAACAATTTAAGCAACATAGTGTTTCACCACAAGACAACCCGACATAACAGTAGTTACCATAGTGTCTTTTTCCTTGAAATATTTACCTTCATATACTATAGTATCAAATATAACAAGACAGTGTAAAACCATTCAAGAGAATGAAAGTATTAAAGGGTATTCAGAACCAACTAACAGAAAACGAATAATGATTATTATATTATCTCCTTGTCTATAAAAAATTCTGTTTATACTATCACATATAATAAAATCCAGTAAGATACAACATGATAAAACTGATGGAGACAGAAGAACAAAAGCTTGGTGGGACTTCAAAAAAAGATGATATTAAATCATTACTAGCTATTATAGTGTCTTGGTTTTTTTCAGAATAGCTGTTCATACCATCACAGACAATAAAATCAAACAACCCAGAATAAAACCATTCCAACTAATGAATGAAAACATAAGGCTTCAAAGCAATATATTGGAGAATTATGATTATCCCATATTTTTATGTATTCTTACCATTTCTTACACTAGGGAAAGTATTTAGTGTTTATACATGTGAGTTTGATTTATTTTGCTTATGAGTATGGTCTCAAGCTGTGTCCATTTATTTATAAATATCTTAATGTGATCATTCTTTATAGCTGAGTAGTACTCCATTGTATAAAAATATCACATCTTTTTTATCTCAGTTGATGGACATTTAGGTTGTTTCCAAGATCTGGCTATTACAAATTGTGCTGCTATAAACATGGGTGCACATATATCACTGTGGTATGATGTTTTCAGTTCTTCTGGGAATATGCCTAGAAGTGGGATAGCTGGAACAAATGGGACTTCCAATCCCAGCTTTTTGAGAAATCTCCAGACTGATCTCCACAATGGTTACACCAGTCTACACTCCCACCAACAGTGCAGGAGAGTTCCTTTTTCCCACAGCCTCTCCAGCATTTGTTGTTGGTAGTTTTCTTTATCCTGGCCCTTCTTTCAGGAGTGAGATGGAATCTCAGTGTGAAACCTGGATTTATTGCAATGTTGATTCATGTTCATAAATCCTCAGTGAAAATGCCTAGAACATTAGCACACTTAAATAGTTTAAACATTTTATTTTAAAAAAATGCTTATTAAAGAGTCCTAATAAAATAAAGTTGAAGGATATTTTTTCTCAGTGGTGGGGCATTATCTGATATCTGCTGAACTTAATGAAATGGAAATTCTCACAGTAGGAAAGGCTTTCCATCTTTCCGTAAACAAGAAACTGAAAGTGCCTTTTTACAAGGCTTGTGGGTTTTTGTATTTTGTTTTGTTTTTTGGTGGTGATCAAGATTGAAAGCAGGGTCTTGCGTATGGTAGGCAAGTGCTCTGTCACTGAGCTACAGCCTCAGTTAAAAACCACCTGACTTCTCAAGGGGCATATTTAAGTTTTAACTCGTAAGAGATGTCTGCTATAGGTTTTACTTTGAGAAAATAGCTCACTTCTAAAACACATCATTAATAACATCAAAAATGCATAAACTCAGCTTTTACCTTATAGTAAAGATACTGTATATTCAAATAATTGTAGAATAGATTAGAGGAAAAGTATTTCTGACTGAAATAGTGTAAGTTTAAAAGATTTAGGCAAATAGAATTTAGAACTTCTAGTGAAACCTGGTAGTAATAATCTCTACCTCAATTCAGTTTTACCACAGGCTTTTTGACTCATGTTTTCTCTGAATTTCTGTTATTTTCTCATTCTTCGACAGGCTGTATGCTTTTTGGCTTCCTGATTGTGTTTTCTGGTTACTGCTACTATTCATCTCCAGCCCAGCAAGTATCCCAAAATCCAGCTTTGGAGGCCTTCTTGGCTCAGTTTAGCCAATTAAAGGATAAATTTCCAGGCCAGAGTTCCTTCTTGTGGCAACGAGGACGTAAATTTCTCCAAAAACACCTCAATGCTTCAAATCCCTCTGAGCCAGCCACCATCATATTCACGGCAGCTCAAGAGGGAAGAGAGACCCTGAAGTGCCTGAGCCACTATGTTGCTGATGCCTACACCTTTTCCCAGAAAGTCTCTGCCATTACAATCAACGGGGCTGAGAGAGCCTCGCAGGACAGTGACACAGTCAAGCTGTTGGTTGACTTGGAGCTGAGTTACGGATTTGAGAACGGCCACAAGGCTGCTGTGGTACACCACTTTGAATCTCTTCCTGCAGGCTCCACCTTGATCTTCTATAAGTATTGTGATCATGAGAATGCTGCTTTTAAAGATGTGGCCCTCGTCCTGACTGTTCTGCTGGAAGAGGAAACATTAGAGGCAAATGTAGGCCCAAGAGAAACTGAAGAAAAAGTGAGGGATTTACTGTGGGCTAAGTTTACCAACTCAAACACCCCCAGCTCCTACAACCACATGGATCCAGACAAACTGAGTGGACTGTGGAGCCGAATTTCACACCTGGTGCTGCCTGTCCAGCCAGTGAGGAACATAGAAGAACAGGGATGCTTTTGATAAAATTAAGCACAGAGTTTGTCTTGTAAGACCCAAGCTTATGTAAAAGTCAGTTTAAAAGGCCTTTGATTTCTGTGGCAGGAGGTTGATAAATGTGAGGGAATGGCCTCAGAAACAAGTGAACTTGTTTTAGAAATTTCCGTTTTTTGCTGTCTGTAAAATCTTTCTAAGATTTGAAAAAGCTAAAAATTGACTTTACATGATTTTCTTTGCCTTTTCAAGCAAATCAGGTTTAAAATATTATATATAAAAATAAGGAGTTTTAAAATCCTAAAATACAGCAACAGAATCATTTATAGGAATCATTTATAGAGTAACTATATAGGAGTTTTACTTTCTTGAGAAGAGTGAAGAGCTATTTGGATAGTCTTTAATGTAAAACCCATTTTATAAAGTGGTGGTAACTTTTTGAAAATTTTTGTATTACATGTTAAAATAAGTCAACTTCAATGAATTAGTTGTAGGATTATGTCTTACACTTAATTTGCACTTGGGTAGTATGAAAAAAGGAAATAACAATTTAAATCATTAAATACTGTGTAGGGGACTATACTTTAATTCCATTAGGAAGTTGACATAAATGCAGCCATGTTTAAAAAAATTCTTAAACTTCGAGTGAATGAGGAAATTTATTATTATTATTGGAAATTGAGAAATCCCAATTACCTGTATCTTTATTTCAGCTTTCTTGAATGATTTAGAGTAGTGATTTTTAAACTGCCAGTTACTTCTCCCCTCTGTATCACAGTAATTCTGCTTTTGACTGTTTTGTATACTGGCTTCTATCTAAATTCCATTGGAACAAAGAGTTTCGCTAATAATGAAGTTTGAAAACCATTGATTAAATGAAAAAACATCTTAGAGATATGTGTAGAAAAAATTTTAAAGCTATTGAGACAAGTAGAAAGATGAAATAGAGGTTTATTGTATGAATCTATGAAACAAATAGATGAATATCAAAATGTATAAGCTAGCATTTACTAACATTTTTCTGACGGCTTTTGTTCATGTCTTTTAATCATTTGTGTTCATACTGAATGGAGTTTTTATAATTGTCTAGGATGAGAAAAAAACATTTTTTCCTTTCTTTCCTTTTTTTCTTTCGTTGTCTCTGTCTGTCTCTCTCTTCCCTCACTCCTTCTCTTTTCTTACTTTTGAGACTTGAACCTAGGGGAAGAGCTGTACATTCCCAGGATTTTTCAGAATTTTGCACAGGGTCTCACTGAGTATTTCAGGTTGGCCTCAAACTTGATGATCCTCCTTCCTCAGCCTCCTGAGTGTCTGGGAGTGTAAGTATATTCCTCTGTGTCTGACCACAAGAACAGATTTTGATAACCAGCTTTCATATGGACACATTGGTATAACTTTACCAAATGATGTATTTGCAGCACTGAGATGGAACTTTTTATAATGAAGCTAATTTTTTAATAGTTAACTAGAAGTACTGTTAGGTTAAGAATTAGAGGGGCTGGGGTTTTAGCTCAGCGGCATAAGCACCCTGCCTTGCAAGCAGGTGGTCGTCAGTTCGATCCCCGGTACCAATTTAAAAAAAAGAATTAGAGAAATGCAGAAGATTTTAACTTAGAAAAAACAAAAATAGTAGATTCACAACAGTTTCAATGGCCAAAATTAGTTGTTAGACTGTGTTCTGTGATTGTAAGAAAGATTGAGAATAGTGTATGGAGATAGTAGTAGTTGATTATATTTGAGCTCTGAAAGCAGAAATTAATAATGTGATCCAGACCTAACAAACAGTCTGATCCAGTATATGGACCTGGAATGTTTTAACTAGGTTTTGGTTTCTCTTTTTCTAAGAAAGCATATGTGTTTGTGTGTATGTATGTGTTCATATGTATGTATGCATATGGTTAATTTATGTGATAGTAAAAATGGAAAGATTTTAGGAAACACTAAGATTCCAAGGATCTTTTAATGATACTTAGAAATATCACAAAGGTATGAGGAAGCATCTTTTTGAAAATATCTGCCACAGGAAAAAAAAAAAATTTGTATTTTTGTGAGATTAAAGTAAATATAAAAACAATCCTTGAAGTATGCTCAGTTGAGTGTAGAGGCATGCTGAAGGAATAGTGTGCATTTGCGACTTTGAAGGAATGTTTTCATATATTTGAGGAGAGACCTAAACACAAAGTTAAGATATAATGAATGTAATATCAGTGTCAGACCAATATAAAATCAGGAAATTAAAGAAAAACCTGTATACCATATTCAAATTTTTTCTGTATTTTTAGATCTTAGATGCTAGTATTATATCACACAAAACCAGTGGTGCCTTGTAAAACTATTATGTTGGCATACTGACCTATGCTACCTCAGATCTATAAAGGAACTAGTCTACAGTATGTATACCTGCCTCTATCTGATTGAAATTGCAGTTGAATGTATTTTTTCATCATTGTCTTTCAGTATAACTTGGGTAATTTCTGAAAGTTGAATTTTTTAATTTACTATTTAGCCTTTGTTAAGAACACTTTTCCTTCCATGTATAAGTGCAGCTGAAACTTCTCAGTTTTCTGTCCACTATTTCAAAATCACTTTAAGAAGACATATAGTATATCAGTTCTGAATCTTCTTAAGGAATACATGATTATTTTAATGTACAAATAATTAAAATCTAATTATTTAATGTACTCTGTTAGGTTAATTTCTGTCACTTATTTCTGTTTTTATATTTTCAAGTTCTCAAACTTTTGCTTATTTGACCTTGAAAAATGATTCGTGGCATTTGATATATATAGTACCTAAACGTTGCCATTTAATTATTACCACAGAATATCTTTCATTGCATTATATATAAATATAAATCACTTCTTGAGTAATACCAGAGTTGTAGAAGCAAGTAGGAGAATGAGAAACTGTCTTTGGAATTGGGTTTTTGTTCCTGTAAGTTAAAATACAGGTTTTCTTAGTTTCCAGAGAGAGAAGTTCCAGGGGGCTCATATCACTAGAGGTAGTCATGCTATTTGTTTCCTTTTCTGTTTCAAGTCAATCTATAAAGTAGTATTAATAGATATTATTTGACTCCTTCAAGCTTACAGTGGTTAGTGAAGTTCAGTGTGCCCATGACCCCATATTCCTTCAGTTATTGCCCAACTAACAATGCTAGCTGCTTGGTTGGCTTTGAGTCTTTTTGGTACCGTGGACCAAACTCATCACCTTGCACTTGCCAGGCGGGTTCTTATGCTGCTGAACTATGTCCCTGCCTTGGCTTTGATTCTTTATACCACTTTTGTTTCTTTTTTATACTTCTGTCTTTGGAAGATGAAACATAGCATGCAATGTAGAAACATACACCTAATACTTCTAGCACTCAGGAGGCTGAAGAGAGGAGGATTGCTGTGAGTTTGAGGCCAACTTGGGCTACATAGTTCAAGGCTAGCCTGGAATACATAGTGGGACTGTGTTTCAAAAAATAAAAAAGAAAATATAGTATTGGTAGAATATAACAAGTATGGCATGTAAAGTGAGAATAATCTAGCAAGGTAATCTTCATTAGCACTATTAGTATATAAAGTGAACAAATGTTTTTACACCCTACTGAATTTTGCTTTTGTGTACTTAAAAAATTAATAGATTTTGCTAGGATTAGCATCATACTTGGCATTTCCCTTCTCCCTATGTTTACATTTGCATTTGTTTCATATAGATGTCAAATGTGCCTTATTCAAATTAGCTTTTTGGTTATAAAAAATAAATCTTAATTTTTCTCAGCTGACTGATTCTTGATTAAAGTTTCCAAAATAGCAAGTTTATAGAAATGGGCATGTGATTATTAACGTGGGAAAGGACACTCCAATCATTTGGCAAATAGCTGAGGAGCCAAAGAATCAGGTGGCATTTGTGTGTGTGTCTTAGTGAAAGAGGTACAGTGCAATCACTGTGCCTGGACTCTACTACTGTCACATAGTATTCTTTGTTACTAGTATTCAGTGAAGCGGACAAAGAGTGAGATATTAAGTGCAACTCTCAAGAGTTGCTCCAAATCCAGGGTTGCTCCAGACTGACTGGGAAGGTATTTAGGTGTGGGCATGTGCCTGGAGTGGGAAGGTGTGTGTTAAGAATGTCAATCTCAGAATGTTCCCAAGCCAGAATTAGAGAGCAGAAGCATGTGAGTACCTTTGCTCAGCCCTTCACTGTTCCTCTCTCAGCATTTCCCCCCACCGTCTATACTCAAGTAAAACCAAAGCATTTATTAACAGTTTTTACAGCCATTTTCTGTCAGGTATGAATTGAATCATGAAAATTTGCAAGATTTATTCTTACAGCTTAGAAAAATATTTAATTCTCAGGAGCTAGCATATCTCAAATTACGGTCTTTCAGTCAGCTGGACTGAAGTCAAGTGATAAGATGAGCTCAAAGGCTAACAGAATATCCTAATACTCATTCCAGACATTGGCAGGACATGCTTATCGTATGACACAACACCACTAGAAGATATTACCATCTTCTCTGATAACACCAAGACAGGCCTCAATACAATAAAAAATGTAGGCAGATATCATGTTCTTCGCAGCATTTTTCTTAACAGTTACAGTGGAGAGACAACCCAAGGGTCCATCCACAGATCAATGTGTAAGCAAAATGTGATACAGTATATGCTATGTATACTGGAATATTCAGCCTTTAAAGGGAAATAATTCACATGCTACAACATGGGTGAATATTGAAAACATTATACTAAGCCAGTCATAAAAAATATGATTGTACTTGTATGAGGTACAGCCAAAGTCATAGAACGTAGAATGATGGTTGCTAGGGGCTGGGGAAGAAAAAGGTGTTCTTGTTTACAGGGGGTGTGGAAATCCACATGAAAAGAGGTCTGGAGACAGGTGGTGACAATGGTTACGCAACATTGTAAGTGTACTGAATTCCACTGAACTGTATCCTTATAATAAAAAATTTTTTAAAAAATCATGGTTAAGACAGTAAAATTTATATATACAGCAATAACAAGAAGAAATGAGGGGTGGGGGGAATCATGGAGAAAAGCATCTTTTTTGTAGTAGAATTTTGCTTTTCCAAACCATATGCAATGCACTGTGCAGGCGCTGGGTTGATGCAGTGACAGCTCCATCCCTAGAGGAGTGACCTGTTCAGAGGAAGAGACCAGCAGTCCAACTAGAATGTCCAGGGAGGTGAAGGCTTTTTTTTCTTTTTTTTTAAGGCAAGGCCTTGCTACATTTTTCAGGATGGCCTTGAACTCATGCTGTAGCCCAGGCTGCCCTTGAGCTTGTGATCCTCCTGTCTCAGATTTCCAAGTGCTAGGATTACAGGCATGCACAACCATACCTGGCAGGTGGTTTGTTTTGCTTAGTCAGTTACAAGGGAGAGATTTCAGAGGTATTAAGGGAGTAAATTACAGAAACAAGATTTGAAGGAAAGGTAGGGTTTGGGGTGGGGGGTGTGTATGGGTTCAGAAATGCAAAAAAAAAAAAAAAAAAAAAAAAAAATCCTTCCAGGTGAGGTGGACAGGGTAGAGAAAATTCCTAGTGATTTTTTTTTTAAACTCGGGGGAGTTGATGCACACTTTTCCGTTGAATCTCTGTATTTCTGTAGATGTTAAGGTCATTTCAAATGAATCAGTTTGGATAGATTTCTAGATGGAAAACGTGGAAGTGCCAGGAGTGTGTGCCTGGTTTACTCCTCATCCCCAACTCCCATGGTCAGTATTCTTTCTGTGTCAGTCTCAGGACTGTGAGATGGTGGCCCGGGGCAGAGATTCCTGGAAAGAAGTCTGTGGAGAAGGGTTGTGGCGGTGGTAGTGGTGACTCTTGCTTAGGGACCTCTGAGTGGCCTGGCTAAAGTCTCTGCCATCCATCCCGCAGCCTGGGATCTCAGTGTGCTAAGAGGCAGGAGAGAGGCCAGGCGAAGGTGGGCTGGGGAGGCTAGACTGCCCACTATATTCTGTGTTTGCGGTGCTTCACACTGTGATCCCAGCTGTACACGCTGCTGTGTCCTCTGTCCTGCTGTGTTCTCTTCTCTGCAGTCTGTCCACTGTGTGCACACTCATTTTCATTTTAAAATATACTGCTTGTGCCACCAGACCCCCCAGATTAACTGTAAAGCTACATTCCAACCTTTTAACTTTTGGATTTAATTGAAGTGGGGTGAAGATCCCTCGTCTTGCTTCAGTTTGAGCCCTGTTTTCTGGCAAGATGGCAGAGTGAGCCTGCCTTAAAACTTTGCTGTAATGTTAAAAATATGTATATATCTCTTAAAGATACCCCAAAGGTGAGTGACTAGAGCTTCTGTTAGAGGTGATGAAAAAGCATTGGAAAGATAGTAGTAATAATTGCACAGTGTTGTGGATGGAGTCATACCACTGAATTGTAAACTTTTAAAATGGTTAAAATCACACATTTTCGATCTCTTTACAACAAAAGTGTTTTTAAATTCATACAATATGGACCTATGCTGGTTGAGCCTGTTTTCCCCTCTGTGCTCCCCTTTGCCTTCTAGGGAGAAAATGGCTTTGCAATTAGAGCACAGGAGACTGTTTACATTTTGAAAATCACCACAGGGGCTCAGTGACCACCAAGTCTCAGCTCTACAACTGGAAGCAGTGCAGTGAGAACATCTTGGGGTACTCAACGTGTTCAGGGGGCCACTCTTAGTTTATGTGGTTCTCTCACAGCTGAAAGATCAGAAACAAGGCAGGCTTTCCTATTTTGTGGGCCTGTGTGAGACAAACCAGCATGCAATCTCAGTTCTCAAGCATGGTTTTATATAAGTTCACTTAGAGAAAAAACATCTTTCAGAAATATAGAGTAAATAATAAGACATTGAAAAGTTTCATTTTTGCCCCCTTGTCAAATTCCCTATTCCCTCTCAATAGGAAACCTGTTTTTGTTTGTATCTTTCCAATTTTTCTTTGTCACAGGCATGTTTTATAACTGCTTATCTAAAGTTCTCAATCTTTTATTTTTCTCTTTTAGGCTCCTCTCATGAATTGTCAGTAATCCAACTCCTCAGATAGAGACCTTTGGGTAGAATGGGGAAGAATGAGGCAGGCTCAAGAGAAGGCTGAGGGCTGGCAAAACCCTCAGTAGCCAAGAGCCTTGAGTTTGGGATCTTCTGATCATCCTGGAGCCCAGGATGGTCACACTTTGGGGAAGGTGTTTAGAGGACTTTGGAGAGTCAGGTTTCTGGTATAACTTGTTTATAAAATGTTTCACTGGATGCAGCATACACATCCTCTGAGGGACTGCTCCTTTGTTAGTTTTAGAATAAATATGCAATTCCCAATGAATAGAGTAAGTGTAGGTTGGGGCAAAAGCCTTGGGCAGTCTAAGTAGGGATGAACTGGGGTGGAAGTAGACCTGCTTACACCCCAGGCCTTTAGTGAACCCTGAGTTTCTCCATGTACCCAGGTGCCTGTGGCCGGGACTGAGTGAGTCATTTTGTCTTATTTTCAATCACAGAGGAGAAGATGGTCTTGATGTCCAGGAAGTTCCAGCCACCAAGCTTTTGAACCTCTACTCTTATGGGTACTGGAACAGTCCCATTCACTGGAAGTCGGGAGAGGTTGTAGCTGGGGTTCCCTGCTGTTCGTTTGTGGTAAAGAGGGGCAGTTGGTAATAGAATAGAAAGTGGGAAGTATGGCCTGAGGCCTGAGCCAATGTCTCCTAAGGACTGACCCAGCTGAGGAGCCTGACACAATGGGGATCGTGGAGGGGAATCTTCTGCAGAGACTTAGAAGAGTTCAGGGATGCCCAACACAGCAGTTAAGTAGAAAATAGTTGGGTGTGGTGGTATATACCTATAATCTCAACACCCAGCTGGCTGAAGCAGAAAGATTGTTGTGAGTTCAGGGTTAGCCAAGGTTGCATAGTGAGTTAGCAGGACTACCTAGCAAGACCTTGTCTCAAAAAAAAAAAAAAAAAAAAAAAAAAATCCTTGAAAATATGCCTATTAAGCATGCTTAGCCTGAATGTATTTGAATATATTCATCAAGCAATTTTGCAGATTTGGAGAATTTTGAGCTTTTCCTAAGCCTGCATGTGTCTACTGTAAGTGGTCTTGATTTTTAGGGATCAGGATAAAGGTGACCCTGCTCCCCAGCCAATCCAGGACTCTGCCCTGCAAGGCAAGAGTAAGGGACTTCCTTTTGTAGGTTGGCGTTTAGGACTTCTCAGCTTCCTGGAGGTGCTAGCATAAACTGGCTGGCTGGAGAAGCCTCTCGCTTTGGTTGGCCCCTTTGTTTGGAGGAAGAGTTCTGGGGACTTTGTGAGGTGGGTCTGTTTGCTCTTTTGTGATTTATCTAGATCCTCAACAAAATTTCTCATCACCAACATATCAAAGAGCCTGCATACAAGGTTTATTTCTTCTCACCTAAAAAGTGCCCTTTTCACACTTTCAGAAAAGAGCAAGGGGAAAAGGCCAAGGCACCGTGGGCTGCTTCAATAAAACTGTCTTTCTCTTTGTCCACAGCCGCGGGAGGGAGATGGAAGATTGCGGGTGGTTGGTGGTGCTCGGTGAGCGTCCCAGTCTTGCGCTCATCCTCCTCCTTTATAGAAGTTGAGCCTAGAATCTTATTCCATATTACAGTTGCCCAGTGCCAGGCAAGCTCCCTTGAAGTAGAAGTCAGTGGAAGTCTGTGGATATGACATGCCCCAAATAACCAAGAATTATATAGAAAATTGCCTAAAATTGGATATTAAGCAGTGTGACAAAATTAATATTTGTTAGATGACTGGGGCCATAGCGAGGTTTTACAACCAAAGTTTCCTTGACCATTTTGAAGCTGAATATGGAAAGGGAACCTAGATGGTATTTCTTAGGAAGTTTATGTCCTCAGAAGGAGGAAGTGTGAGGGAGCAGATAGAGGCAAGAGCTGTGTTGACATTTCACTTCCTTCTTCTCCGTGAAGCCTGATGGGAAATGAAGAAGGATTCGGGGGCAGGTGGAAGGTGGGCCTCGTGGAGACAAAGACTGGTGTGGGGATGGACATGGGACAAATTCGGACCTCTAGGTGGTTCTCCTTGGTGTTCTGCATGGTTGCGTTCCCTTCCCTCTTTGCCGGACACACGAGGACCCTCTGCTAACCCCGGGAATGCCTGGAGTCCCCGCCCATTCCTGGGAACACAGAAGCTGGAGTGTGTAGTAGGTTCTGAGTGAAGCCCAGCAGAGCCACGAATGGGTAAGTCAAGAAATACGTGCTCAGGGAGGGTTGGTGGCCCTCAAGCCTTGAACTTGGGAGTCAGTGAAAGAAGATTTTTTTCTCCAGTTAGAACATATGTGCTGTCCTTCATTCAGTTTATTAGGACAAATGGGAGCAAAAGTGCAGATCCAGGTTGGTGGCCAAGTGGGTCCTGCAAAGAGTCACAGTCAAATAAAGAGAGGTTTTGAGGAGGGAAGTGGGTTCTGGCAGTGCCTGAAAGGGGTAGGGAGAGGGGGCAGGGAAGAAGGGCTTCAAGAAGGTTTGAGTATAAGTGGCAGTGGCAAGAGTGGAGCCCTGAGCAATCCCAGTGTGGGCCCTGCTGCCCTCTTCTGCAGATTTGGCTCCATCTACAAATCCTAGTAATAGTAATGGTCCTCATATGCACCAGGTGTCAGCTCACTGAATTTTTGTAACTACAGATTAATGTGTATTTTACTGTCCCCATTTTACAGATGAGAAAACAGAGGCACAGAAAGGTCTAAAATGTTGCCTGAAGTCACACAGTCATTGTGGAGCTAGGCATGGCTCATTTTGAAGTCTGATTGAAAAATCTCTCTAAATACTGCCACTGGATTGCTGTGTCTACTAGAGTATGAAATCACAGCACAGAGAAGCTGGCTCTTTGACCCAGGAATTCCTCCTTTTCCTACTGTCACAATGCACTGCCTGCTATGGCTAGAGAGAGATCCAGAGGGTGCTAGAAGACAGGGTACTCTGTGAGTATCTGGAAGTACTCTGTGGGGCATCTGTAAGCTGAGGTGCAGGAAGAGTGTCTTGGGAGAGATCTTGTACTCACTGGTTCTCCACAGAGGGAGCTGATGAGGAATGTTGGCATTGAGATGGGGACTAGGCTAGAGGATGAGAAGGGAGGGAAAGGAGGTGGAAGAGGTTCCTAGGCCAGAACCTGAGGCTCAGAGAGGGCTACTTCTGAGCCCTGCTGAGGGGCTCCTTGTTACATCCCTTGCTGCTGTGCTGTTCTGAGTCCCCTTAGATGGTCATGGTTTGATATTCCTCTGGAAATAGTACCCCCTGAGCAGCACTTGTGAACTCGAATGTAGAAAACTGGATGAAAAATTATGATGAAAGGAGTTTATCTTGGAAGTCTGCAGACACCTAGGGGCAGAGTGACAGGAGCAGGTTTGAGGACTTCGGACGGCATAATGCAGCTTATGGGGCTGGAGCTCTGTTGGTCAGTGAGGCCCATGGATATTAGGGTGATGGGTTTGTGACCGTGGCTCCTGCTCCTCCTCCTCTCTGTTCCTCCCTGCTGGGGCTGGACAGTGCAGGCCTGAGGCTAAAGCTGAAGCTGAGGGACGTCAAGTGAGAAGAGCTGGGTCAGGGCTGTGGCCTTGCCACCAACCCCGTGTGCCCGGTGGGAGAGCAGAGGTATGAGAGGAAGGTGTTGGTAGCTCTGCAGGTGTAGAATAGATAGCTTGGAGCTGGGGTGAATTTCATATTTGCCTCAGGGCCTGGCTCCCGTTCCCAGAGGAGAGCTGTGGTTAACAACACCGCTGGTAGCTGCTCCCAAGGTGAGTCAAGCTATGCTCCCACTGGTACTAGAGAAGGTTGGTTGCAGGGCCAGAGGCCTGCTCACTGCTCACTGTGCGTGCACATACACATAAGCTTACACATAGACACTTTACCTTTACCCTTGAGTTCTATTTTCTACACAGAAAGCTATTTCCTGGTCTTCTATTCCCACTCCATATAGCTGCTGATTTACAGTCTCTGCCCGACACTCCCCTTCCATCCCTTCTTACACAAATACAGGGCTGGCTATATAACTCAGTTTGGGACTCCTTAGGCTTCTGAGGGCAAGTAATTTGCCTCATAGTACCCAAGGGGAAACCACAAGCTGGAAAGTGAGGGGGCTGGGCAATTGTAGAAGCTTGGCTTGCTTCCCAGTGAGGCTTATTATTTGGGTAGGACCACTTCAGTCTCCGGGGACAGTAATTACTATACTTCAATCCCCTTTTCCAAGGAACATTAAATCCTTTCTGGATGTGAACTCAGATTAGGCAATAGGGGATACCCTGCAATAAGGTGAGAGGTTTCTTAATGTGTAAGCAGGAAAAGGTAGGAAATATGTGGATTTTGGTGTAAAAAGTAGACATTCCAGGTACCAAAATGGAGCATCCACTCATTACGTTTATGCCCAGCTGCCCTGTGCCCACGTAAAGAACAGGACTCCATGAGGTTTCTATTTCAAATTTCGCATTTATTTTGACATTCACTTGGTTGTGATTCCAAGTTATCAAAGATGCAAGACAAGAAATCTGCAGCAACAGTAGTGATGTGGAGCTGGAAAAAGATAGCAGAGAGGATTGGGCATTTTCCAGCCTCTCGTCCTCCTCTTCCTGTTTAGAGTTCAGTTTGAAGAGTGTACAAATAGTGTCCCCATAGTGCAGTCTCCACAGCTAAAAGGATAGTGTAGTTGGGTGGGGTGAACTCCTTCTTTACAGAGCAGGCCCTCACAGCTACAGTGAGGTCAGCAGGCCATCTTGAGTCTGGGATGGAGCCTGTGCCCTGAGCAATGGGGGCTGTGTGGGGAAGAGCTGTGGCCTGTCTGCTGTCTAATGCATAGGACCCAGAGTTTGACTGTTAGTTAAGTGCAGTTAAGCTGGGGATACAAATGGAGACATGAGAGCACGGGATGATTTATACTCTGGGACCCCCAATAAGAAGCAGGTGGGTTGTCCTGATTTTTGCAAAGACAGAAGATATGATGATGGTGGTGTTATTTTTGGTGAGGAAGGTGGTAGGTTGGCTGGTGGATTGGCTGTGGAATTGCATGGGGACAAGGCACTGGGCTGGTTGCCAGGAAGTGGAGGGCTGCCAGGCCCACAGCTCATCAAGGAGTTGCACATGGCCCAGGAAGGGCTGGCAGTGGGATGCGTGGGTTAAAGCTGCTTCCTAAGTTGCTGCTCTGCACTGGGAGACAGATTTCATTAACCCACTTAAAGCTACTTCCTGGTACAAGGTCAGTGCTGCATTTCAGATCACTCAATAGGGGGTCAGACAAACATGCTGCTCTTTACTAGCAATTAATGATTTTGCTTTACTATCTCAGGTTTTTTGTTGTTACTGGGTGTTTTTTTTTTTCTTTTTAAAAAATTTTGCAGTCTTTCATTCCTCAGCAAACATGCATTTACACTGGATTATACACCTGGGAGTACCAGCACCTGCCAGGATGAGGGTATGAGGGAGTGGCCTGCCTGGCAGATCTTTTTAGGAGATCTTCATTAAGGACTAAAGACTCTTAGCACACACCTGGGTAAACCTATTTTTCCTGGAGAAAGTGGGGTCTCAGACAAGATAAGGGAATGGTCTTAGACCTAATGAGTGACCAAAATGTGGCCAGAAGTCAGGTCTTTTGCTTCTCAGCTTGTTATTAATTCTAGGTCCAAACAGAGTGATGTAAAAGGTGGACATTCCAATCTCTGTCCCACTCCTCCAGCTGCTCTTTACTCTTTGTTAAATGCAAAATCAAGATTTTGGCAGAAAGCACAGCCCCTATCCTGTGCCATCCTCTGCAACAGGAGTGAGGTGGTGGTTAGCTACGCCTTAGAAGTGGAGAGCAGCCATATTTTACTGCAAAGGTGTCTGAAAACTCATCAAGCATACTTATTTAAAAAGCATAAGGCTGCTGCTATGTTATAGGCAGGAATTGGGATAGAGTAGGGCAGCAAAAAAGAGTCCATCTCTGGAGTGCAGGGAGTGCAGTGGCCACTAAGACACATCCAGTTCTCAGGAGCTGTCCTCTCCTGTGCTTAGGAGTAGGGGCAGTTGGTCCTAGTGCAGTGAAGTTTTGCCCCACAGTCACAGGTGGATGCTTAAGTAGAGCAGCAGTCTCTATGGGAGCTTATTTGGGCAGCTTCAACCACTGTAGAATTTCCTATGGAGACGCCAGGCTCTTCCTTTACCAGCTGGCTGGTTGTCATGGGGACTTACTACCTTAATCACCTTTTGTTCTTACTGCTTGGAGGTCAGATTTTTTTTCCTAGTTGGTGCCCCTGGACCCTTCCACTCTCTGCAGCTCCTGAAAATGGCAAAGTCTGGTGATTGGTTTATGGGTATGTGTGCACACCTGGAAATGGGATGCATTCAGCATGGTGGCCCACAGCCTGAGACAGTCAGCAAGACTTCTTTAGCTATGCTTCTGGAACTCTAGTAACAAAACTTGAAAAAGCTTCTTTGGCAGGGGGCAGCTGGTTCCTTAGTGGGGAAAGAAAAGGATTTGGAGGAGACAAGTTTAGACAGATGCTTTTTGATACAGTCCCCACTGAAAGCCATACACTATATGGCCCTTTTAAAGTCAACTTGATAATGTTCCATGAGGAGAGAGCAGATGCAGAAATGATGTGTTCAGTGATCAGTACCCCTATTGGTGCAGCCACAGTGACAATACCAATAACCAAAGTACAAAACTAAATTACAGATTAGCTCTTGGATGCGTTTCAGCAAGCTAGTCTTAAGGAAGTCCTTTTTATGTACCTTCTCGCATATCAAATTCTAGACTACGTAGCCCTCACTTTTCTCTTAGCCCTTTGTCTCCTTTTCTTGTAGGCATAGCTACTTTATTTCCCAAGGATTCTGAAAGCCACTGTAGCCTTAGCTTAGCTTTCTCGGGGGCTTTTCATAGCCTTGCAAAGCCAGGGGTTTGGGCTTTCTGGAAGGGGTTGTGGTGGCACTATGGCTGTTGGGCGGAAGTCCCAACAGAGAAACTGGTGAAGTTGCAGAATCAGTCAATAGATAAGTCTCCAGCTTTGGGTTCTGGATTGGAGCCAGCCCCAACCCTCGTTCTCCATGCATTCAATTAGCTCAAATCCTGGTGAACCCTCTGCTATGGAGCAAGAAAAGCCAAAGAAACTTTTGAACATGTTCTTGTGGGGCTGTTGGAGGGTCATCCACTGTCCCCATGGCTCCTGCTGGGGCAGCAGTGTTGGTGTGTGTGCAGGTCAGGGAGTGCAGTGGTTACACATCTGTACTAATAGCCCTTGGATTGGTGAAGGCCTCACGCCCAGAGCCTGGCCAAGTCACCGGGTAACTCTGGGGCACTGCCAGTTTGAGAGAGGGAGGTCCCCCCTCCTTGTAGTATGTGGGAGCAAAGGAGAACCTCTCGCCTCCACCCCCATTGGGCACCATGTCAGCTGTCCGTATGTAAAAAGGGGAGTGGTATGGAGAGCAGGTGGTGCAGTGGCTCCCTGCTGCCCCACATGGCTGGCTACAGGGCTCGCTGGTGAGAGGCGCCAGGCCGCCTCTGCCATCCAGAGCTTGGGAAGTGCAGGCATTGCAGGTGGGGCCTCTGGGATGGACTGAAAAGTTGTGCTCCTCTTCTTCCTCCTCCTCCTCCTCATCTGCATCCTCAGTGCTCTTCTTGCAGCAGTAGTACTAGGAAGAGGAGACAGGAAGACTGAGAGTCTGTGTTTGTTCCCCATACCCTTTGGTGCACTGAATATCTTCTGCTGGACTCTTTGTTGGTGCTGGCGATAAAACTGAACCCAGAAGCCTATGTACCTACTCCCAGCTCTGCAAGGTCAATGCTTCACCTTTTCTTAGCTCCCTATTCCTCAGTGAACGAACTCCAAGTCATGCTTGCAAGAGACAAGGATACAGAGAGGGAGGAGTATGAACATCATATTGAGAATAGGACAGGGGGGTTCTGGAAGCAATTTTCAGTGTCTCCCTACTCCTAAACCTCAGAGGTGAACACAGGACCCAGTATCTTTCCAACATATCCTCTGATTGTCCCAAAAGTACAGGGTGAGTGGGACATCTATAGTTTCTTTCTGAACACCACTACCAATTCCTGAATTTAAACCTCTGATCTTCTGTAGCTTTGGGCTTTGTGGGCCCCAAAGTGAGTCCCCAGTTTCTGCCCCCATAATGAGTAAGTGGTTTACCCTGGCAGCCTCTGGCTGCAGGCCTGGAGGACTGACCTGGAGCCTACAGTAGCACAGGACAGCGATGATGCAGAGGAGGATCACTGTAGCTAGGATTCCGCCAGTGATCACAACTGTTCCCGCTGTCATCCGCCCGATGCCCCATCAAACTCTGCAAAGATAATGTGCGGAGAGGTGAAGAGCAGTCAATCACGAGGAACTCTCAGTGCAGCTGGAGCGGGGACCCGAGAGGAACAGAAGCTAGGAGGGTTCTGACCTCAAAGCGCTTGCTAAAGACAGGACTGGCTGTGGCTGAGGCCTGGCCGGCCTAAACTAGGGTGGAGTCAGGGGATATAGCTGCCAGAAGGAAGACAGGAGGCAGAATGCTAATGCCGCTCCCTGTTTTGTCTAGTGTGAAAGGTTCTTGTTGCTTTTCTCCTTTAGTCTTCTTCTCTCCTTACATCTTTCTTGTCTTCCCCCATTCCATGGGTCCAAGACACAGAGAATACAGTGGTACCCTAGTTCACAATCTTAGTTCTTTTCACAATTCTGATCAAACTGAATTTGATGAAAACCAAATCAAATTCCCCTATAAAGTCAACACTGAACCTAACCATTGAATTTGATTGGGTTCTCATTCAATTCAGTTTCTAACCAGAAATTAAGTTTGTGAGAACTGAGGCACCACTATGGATGGAGGGCTTCGCCTGTGTGATCCGCCATGCTGGCACTCACATCCCTGTGTCCTCTCATGAAGCCTCACAGTATCTTTTGGGATAGCCACAAATTCCCCTATTATGCTCAGAAAGAACTGAGGTTTTGATGAATCTGGCTGGTGTTCCACATAGCTTGTTTCCTCCCCAAAGCCATGCTCCTGGGCACAAATACCAATGGTGTCCAAACCTTTGGCCCCAGCTACAAGGCATAGGACCCAAAACTCAGAAATTTCTCTGCTTTACACATGTGTTCCTTTTAGTAGTGTCTCTCTCCTTCAAATCCTCATGGGAAATAGCATCCTGGCTCCTGGAAGGCTGTGGTCAGGCTAGGGATACTGCTTCTGGTTGGTAGGGATGAATGAATAGGACAGAGGCAAGAGGATAGAGTGGGATGCTGTCCATATCAGTGATTGGGGATTTCTGAGCCTCAGAGACACATGGAGACCACGGGGAAAAGACAGAGTATTTGGCATCCTGAGGATGGAAGAATGACTGAATACTTATGTTCAGTAAAGGGAACAGTGACATAGAAGACAACAGAGACAAAGGTGCTGGGGGGGGGGTTCTGCTTAAAAAAATAAGGCCTCCAGAGTATTCCTTAATCTCTAGCCTACTCCCATCTTGCTTTCCTATAAGCCTGTAGGGTTTGAATATAAGCCTCCAGCTGCATCTTCAAGTGCTTATGAATGGACATTTCATTTGGATGTCCCACTGCCACCTCAAAGTCAATTAAGGTAGGCTAAAGACATCACTCTGCTCTCCAGTCAGGCCACCCACTCTGAGCTGTCTTATGGTTCTACTGAGCTGTCCTGAAGGGCTGTACATGTTGTTCATTCCTCAGAGGGCATGTGGGAGCCGGACTGCAGTTGTAACGTACTCACCAAGCTGTGTGCCTGTGTGTTCAGCTGGTGGAACGAGTGCATTTTCCTTTACCCAAAGACGCCCCCTGCCCATCATTGTGCTTCTAGAGGGCTCCATCCACCCAGTGGTACTGATCCTAGTTCACTCAAGGGTGCTGTGCAATCTTGCTGCTTTGTGGACCATCCCTTAGGTCTGCTAGAAATGAGACATTTTGCAGCCCACCTCTAGCCTGAGTCAGAGCCTACATTTTAACAAGGTCTCAGGTTACTCATTTGCACATTAGCTTAACCAGCTCATAGAATGTACCCTTAACTCCTCAGACTTCTTCATCTTTCCCCAGTATTCTTTTTTTTTTTTTTTTTTTTTTTTTTTATCAGTAGCAGGGATTGAACTCATGACTGCCTGCTTGCAAGGCAGGTGCTTATGCCACTGAGCTAAATCCCCAGCCCCCAGTATTCTTATGCCAGTTGACTGTATCGTAAGGTGGCACTGGTGCAATGTCTTCTTAACTAACCAGGTTTTGTGTCTGAGCAGCCTTCCCTCCATGAAGGTTTGTTTTTTCATCATTTCCACCTGCCTCTCTATGCTCCGGTGCCTTCCTGGATACATTCACATAGTATACACTCATGTGGACACAATTTTGAGACATGGCTTTGACGACCTCAGGCTCCCTCACTCCCCTGGCACGCTCACTATCAATGTATTTTTCTCTCCTTGTCTTTCATTGTTTCTTGTGTAAAGCCTCTATTCCAGGTCTTAGGAAGCTTACAACTCAGTGATGGAAAGGCACTCAGCATACCCTGTGACACAGTGTAAGGCTCGTGACCACAGCACAGGCTTTGGGCTTGGGGACACCAAGTAGGGGCAACTAATTACTGGGGAAGATGTTCCATAAAAGGAATCATATTTGAGCCAAATCCTACAGCCTGAGTAGGAGACAAGGTGGGGAGGGCTCGTGGGTGAGCAGGGTTCCAGAACTGGGAGGAATTCAGAGATTCTGGGACAGGCCATGTGCTGGCATGAAGCTGGAGAGGCTAACAGATTAAGACAGGGAACTGAATTTAACTCTTTGGAAAGAGGTGTTCCTGAGGCTTTTTATAGGAGAATGCACGGTCTCTCTTTGTCTGCCTGTTCATATCCTACCCATCCTTGAGGGCCCCAGAAGCCTCCCCTGATTGTCTGTTTGGTTCTACTCTTCAAATCCTCATTTAGTGGGATCCTGGTAAACTTTTCATGTGGGAATATCTTGACTCCAATAAATTATAAATCCTTTGAAAATAGGAGTTCTGTCTTATGCTGTTTCCTTGTTCCCTTAGCAGCATATACATCGTACCTTGACGTACAGGAGATACTTAACAAAAGTTGGGTAATCATTTCACTGTACTGCATGGCACAGGCATGGCAGTTATGGCTCTGACCACCAGGAGGCAGCAAATTATATCTCTCAGTTCAATCCAGTTTGCTAATGTACTATGCATTTCTGTCAAGACAGGTTTGACTGCCTAGATGCTTAGTGGGTTGTGTTTTGGGGTTTCCTGGGCCATCTGGTGGGAGGAAAGTGAATCTCAGGTGAGGGAGGTTTTATGTAACTTCATTCCAACAACACTTTATCCTTCCCTACTTTTCTGCAAGCTCATCTTCGAGGGCTGCTTAGGATGCAGGGTGACCTGTGGCATGACCTGCAGCTGGGGAGTCATGGGTGACCTGTCCTATGCCTCTAGGCTGTACCCAACCTGTTTTAACTTACAGTATTTTATTTTAATGTTTGAAGGCACTATATATACATACAGCAGTGCAAATGCAATTTACTAGGCAAGTAGGCAAACATATAAGCACTATATCCAACCTCCTCTAGCAGAGCACAACCAAGTTTAAAAGTTTAAATTTTAAAATTAAAAAGATAAAGTTAAATACACAAGATTAACTGATGTATATATTCACCTTCAGGACATGCTGAAGATGTTTTATGTAGTTCTTTTGCATATAGTATTCTTTCAAGGCATGTAAGAAGCTCTCTGACAGCTAACAGGTCTCTATTTTGCAACAAAATAGCAATTTAAAATCTTGGGAGAATAATACATTACTTCCACATTACTTTCTCCATAGAAGTTCTCATTATTAAATATCTGTAAAGTAGACAGACTGGCTTGTATATCCTTTTTGGAATTACAGCAAGTATATCGGAAGCATTCAAAATATAATAAGCACACATTTTAGAAAGTTGTATATTATAAAACATAAATTATGTAACAATCAGGTTCCTGTAATGTCCTAGACTAATTTATAATGCCAGAAATAAATTAATGTGACATGGTTTTAAACTCTTGTTTTCCTATTCACTTCAGGTTATGGAGTAAAATAAATAAAATGCCTTCATAGGGCTGGTGCACACTAACCATGGCGAAAGGTATACAGTAATACTAACCAAAAGGAGCTAAGTCCAGGCTACTGTTCTGTTATGCTACAAACAAACATCTTCATACCTTTGGGCATTAAATAAATGTGTAAGAGCTTTTATACTGACATCAGAATATCAAAACTACACCTTTATTTCTTGCAGGCTGTTTTAGAGGATAAGGAATTATGGAGAAGCAATCTAAGAACACCTGCTTTCTCCCTGTTTCTGTGCCCACCCTCCCTCCTTTCAGCACCACATGGCTGTGCAGCAGCAGTGGCCTGGAAGTGGCTGGCATGGCAGTGCAGAGGGCAAAAGGCTCAGGTTCAAGCACAGCTGTGCCACTCAATGGTCACCCCATCTTGGAAACTGCCCTTCTCCCCTTCTAAAACTGACATTAACAAAACACTCAGTTTGCAAATAAGACTGTGAGGAACAACTGAGATGTGTCAGAGGGCGCCTCTTACAGACTTTAAAAGTCCTTACAAAACATGGCTATTTGTGGAAAGAAAAGAAGGCCCAGGCATTTCCTAACTGCTTAAGTCTGGTTTTAAGACCATCAGCCAGGAAGGTGCTCATAAAATGTGAACATAAAGTGTCTTTTCTTGAGAGCTCTGTAATAACAGCATTTAAATTCTCATATTCAGGGGCTATTTTTTCAGGTGGCTAATTTCCTTTTTGTAATTAGATGCAAATGATGACAGTAACTTCCTAAGCCCAAACAGCATCTTGTGGTTTACAGAGTTTTCTAATTATTAACCTGCCAGTGGTGGACAGGCTTCAAGATGGGTCCCCAGTGAGCCCCCCTTCTAGCAGTCATCCCTGTCTACTCTCTCCTTCAGTGTATGACCTGTGTGTATATTCTAACTAGTAGGTTCTGCCTTCCCTCTTGCTAACCAGCTCTTTCTTTTGTTGGATTGAATGCAGCTAGCTGCTATATTGTGGAGTCCCCTGTGACCAGGAGTTGAAGGTATCCTCTGGCCAGTCACCAGCTAGGAACAAAGGTCCTCAGTTCAGTGACTCAGAAGGATCATCTGAACAATAACATAAGCGAATTTATTTCCTATCCAGCCATCTGAGTTTTCAATGAAACTGTATCACTGGGTCCAAACCTTAACTAGTCCATGACAGAACCTGAAGCAGTGGACTCTGCTCCCCATGTTGGGATTCCTGACGCACAGAAACTCTGAGATGATCAGTGTGTGTTGTTCAAGCTGCTCAATTTGTAATACAGCAAGAAGTAACTAATACACTGAACCTTACATAACCCTGCAACCCAGGAGAGGAGGCCAGACCATTAGGTGATCTGCCTAAAGTCATAGCAGAGCAAATGTCTGAGCCAGGACCCTAGGGCCAGTGCTTTGGAGTTCCTATCATACATGCTGCCTCTTCTTGAGCTTTCTGAGAAAGAGAAAGAGAACCTTGTGTTCCCATACAGGTCCTAGAAGATCTCAGGCAGAATGACTTAATGGTGCCCAACTCAGAGGTTTGGGTGGCTCAAAGGGATAAACTTGATGTTCATGTAGGATAACTGAAGACCTGTCCCCTGTGGCCAGGAGTTTCTGAGGCTCCCTCTCCACCCTGTTTCTTCCCTACTCTGGGCCCAGACACCCTCTGGGGGAGAACTGGTTAGGCCCTGCCTCACACTTACGTGAAACAGCTGGAGCAGCGGTGGCTCAGTCACGCAGGCTGCGCCTGAGCAGATAGCAGTTGGGGGTGCATCATGGCCAAGGGCATCAGTCCCTGCCGGAGAGAATGGGGGGAGGTCAGTTGAGCTGGATGAAGAGGACAGGTTGGAGCTGGGGGAGGAACCGGCTTGTAACTCCAGAAGGCTAGGGTGGTCTCCAAAGGCCTTCTTTGCTTCTTGTTCTCTCTGATTGCCTTGGCCTCAAAGGCTCCCAGGCCAAGAACTTGGGGAGAGACATCTGATCCCATCTTTGTCTTCTTCCTTTGGCACTGCTGTTTGGAACTTTTGCCTAATGCAGCAGCAACATTCAGGCCAAGAGCACAAAGGCTTAGTGGGGAAGGGAGCCCGCTTGCTTTTCCACACTCCACTAGAGAGTTCCAATCATCCAATCATCCTAGGTTGCCTGCATGACTGGCCCCATGCATCTCTTTCCCATCCCCTCCTCCACTGATCACTGGGCCTGTAGTTTATCCCAGTGCTCAGAGTCACACACTCCTTTATCTGATATGCTGACTTCCTTCAGGCCAACTGGATAGTTAGATGATGAGGTTCAGGTTGACTTGCTGATAGAAGGAGAGGCAGGACACCACTAAGCTATCTAGGAAGCCAGTGTCAGCTAATTAGGGGGTCTCTTTAATATCCCTCCAGTAGCCACCCACTATAATTTAGAAGAGAGTCTGGGCTGTACATGGGGTAGGGGAGGAGAGGCAGGATCCACGTGATGTGGTAGTTGTCCTGAGAAGACACTCGCTGCCTGTATTGGGGTGGGAACCTGATCATTGGCCACAACCACAGATCCATCTTCTGAAAGAACAGGGCTGACTCCCTTGAAGTTCTCTGCCTCACCCAAAGCTAGAGGTCAAAGGACAGACATTAGTGCCACAAGAGTTAGGTGCATGTGAGGCCAGCAGGTCTCAAGTGCAGAACTCAGGAGGGTTTGTGAAGGAAGCAGGGGACCTATCAGGTAGTCCTGACTGCATAGTCACCTTTCTTCTCCATCTAGGCCTTTGTCTGTCTCCTGTGCTCTGGGTGCTCAGGCTTCCTCTTCTCAAAGATGCTGTCACTCTCATTGAACTGTAGTCTTATATGAATGGAGGTCAGAGCAAGGCTCTTCCTGCCTAGGTTATGAGATTCCAAAAGTTAGAAATCAGAAGACTAAAGAGTCTGGACAAGCTATGTGCAAACTGCACCACTGGAATGGGAAGAACATCTTTTTCAGGATTCCCGTCCCCCCCCCCCCCAAATAAATACAGGTGGGTCAATAATATGTGATGATTTGCTGAGCAAGATTTCATTGGCAAGAGCTGTTGCTGAGCTGTGGATCCCTCCCTCCAACCCCCACGGGTGAAGGGGCCATGGACGACATGAGGCTGTCTTGAGTACTGTCCAGTGGTACCAACAGTAAGAAGAGCTGCAGGTGGCCCCCAGATGCCAGGGGCTGAATAAGACCTTACAAGGGATGGTATGCTTTGGAGGGGACCCTGGCAGAAAGTGAGGTCCAGGGGCGGAAAGGAAAAGTAAGGGGACTCTAGGCAGCAATGGAGCACATGTGGCCCACCTCCAAAGCACTGCTGGCCTGAACCAGATCCAACTTGGAGGAAAGGAGAAGGGTAAAACTGCCAGACTGAGAGTCTATTGATTATTACCCATGATTAGAATCCTAATTTCTGAATTTAAACTGCCTGTATAATTTAACTATAAGTGCAACAATCACCTAAGATTAAATTAAAACCAAATTAAAACCAAACAGGTAGCTCACTCAAATTTTTTTGTATGGTAGGGGAAGATTTCTCCCACTGAACATATTTTGAAGTAAAGGGGTACTCAGGGGGAAAAAGTTGTTTTTTAAGCACAAACCATGCAACATGCTTGTTTAAAATATCAGTTACTTACAGAAAAACAATCCATGGAAATGTAAGGACTCTAAGATACCTGGCCCAATACCTTTCTTTCTTAATGAAGAGGACAAATGACTTGCTGTGTCAGAGATGGCGCCTGCGAAGCACTGGGAGTATAGCGTCCTGACCCCAGGGCTACTGTTTCTCTGTCTAGAAGAACATATACAGCTCTTTCACCAGAAGCTAAGGTATTCCCTGAAGTAAAATTGGCCTGACATGAACAATCACCTGAAGCACAAGTTAAAAAGCAGAGATGCCGATCTAAAGCAGCACCTACAGTGGTGGGGGCTCAGGCACCTGTATGGAGTAACAGGCTTGAACTTGAACCATCGGGCCCTTTGGGAAATGATGCCAAAAGAAACGTCTTTGGGAAGACTTCAATCTCTAGGCAGCAGGGGTAGTGCTGTGGATGGTGGCGACTCTGTACAACCTGTAGCATCATCTGCTGCCCACGACAAGATGCGCTGTGTGTTCTGTGCCCTTGGGACAAATTGGCCAGAGTCAGGAGGAAGAAGGAAGTCTGAGAAGAGCCTAGGACACATTAGCCTGAAGGGATGGAGCCAATAAAGAGGTCAGGATGGGAGGACCTGTAACAGAGGCTGGGAAGGGAATTAAAAGCCACCTTGGTAACCAGGAGTCCTCTGTTCTCTCTGGAGTGCCCCCAGCCATCAGTAACTTCAAACACTTGGCAGTAGAGTCACCTCACCTCACTGCCTGGGTGAATGCTGGCAGGAAATGCTGGCCACAGCCAGGACCAGCACATGTAATTAAGGACCACTGCCCCCTGCTCTTTGCTCAGGGCCCCCTTAGGAACACAAGTTAATTGAGTCAAACTTACTGGCTGATCTCAGGTTTTTTTCTGGTGCATTTAAGCTTTCTCCAATCAATTTATTAACCTGTGAAATTGACACTACAGGTTAGCAGCTCCTGAGAAGAGGAACCTTTTTCCTCATTACCTGTCTTTCTGGCCTGGAATCGTTAGGCAAGTCTAGTAGAGAGTAATAAAGGAAAAGTGTATCTTTACTTTGATTTTAATTGTGCCCATTACCAAGCCCTGACTGCCAGCATGGGAAGAGTTGGTCACCACATGGGTGTTTTTGCCCTAGATGGCCAGCAATAGTAGCAGACAGGTACGCACTGTTTGAAAAAGGGCTTCTCCAAAGGTACAAGGCAGTCTTGTGAATTATCAAGATGCAAGGACATCAATTTAATAATGGGTTATGGGCAGGAGGTTTACAAAAGGGGCAACCTCAAAGGCTAACAAGAAAATAAAGAGATGGAGAAAGTAGCTGGGTAAGAAAATCCGGGGTGGTCTCCCCTCAGGCACACCAACTTGAACAGACATCTATTCATGCCTTCACAAAGTACCTTCATGAGAGCTAAGGAAATCAGGTGAGAGACCAAGTACCTGTTTTTAGTGTAATAAAATAAAAGGAAAAAAAGTATTAAAGGCAGGAAGAAAAGAGGTGCCTATGCCACCCTTCTCCTAGCTCTAGATACCTTCCACTTGGGGAAGGGAAAGAGAATTAAGACCAGGCTTTAGACTTGCAATCCTGTAGGCCCATCAAGTGAAACTTGGTGCTGGCAGAGCACCACAACTCCTACCACCAGGCTAGCACCTGGGGACTGAGTCACTGAAACGGTGCTAGGCCTTGTGGCTGCCAGCCTCCATCACCTGTCCCCCAACCTCTGGAGGCAGAGCACTTAGTAAGACTCCACCTCCCGGGGAGCAGAGGAGGAAGGCTAGCACAGGGCTTTGTCATGGAGTCCACCATCCAACCTAGCATTCAGTAGAAACTAAAGGCCTCATATCAGGTCAGGGCTCACAGACGAAGCCCTGTAACATAGGGGCCTGAGGCAAGTCCATTCACATACTGGCTTCAGCACCATGTAGAGACCTGTATGTTAGCAGAATAGATTCAAGTTTCTGCAGTGTCATTTATAGCTTTGAGGAGCCTCAAGGCACACTACCCACCTTCCCTACAGACTGACCAGGACCCTGTGGCTATGACAGTCAAGCATGACCCAGTGACCTAGCTTAGTGTAGGCCTTAGGGGCCAAGGGAATGTCTCTATCATCCATCTCTCACCTTGGGCAACACAGCTATTGCCAGGCCAGTGCTTGCAAATGAAGCTTTAGACCTGCCCCAGCATCAAGCAAAGACCTGCACTCTTGGGATGGACTGTGTCACTGCCAGCTGCAACATGGGCCTTAGTATATCACAAGACTGTGTAGGTCCATGTCGCTCAGAGACTCAAACATGACCCAGCTGAATGTCAGCCTAGGTGGCCAAGGAACTGTCTTTACCATTACAGTCCCAATCTTGAACAGTATAATATGCTTGAATACCCTTTCACTGGCAGTAGGGCAGGATAATAAGCACAAAACTTTGCCCTGGAACTCAAGGCTGAGCTGGTGAAACCTAACACTGTGTAGATTCTAATGTCACCTATCCCTAGGCCTGCCTGAGACAGAGACTCTAGAAAAGCCCCTGTATACTGGGCTTCCACTGCAGCCTGCATCACTTGTGTCGGGTTGCAGCAGTCCTGGGCCACAACTCCATCTCAGCAATAGGCAACCCATAGTAATGTGGGCGTTGGTCATATCCCAGAGTTGTGCCAGGATGAGTGGTCAGGTATGACAGCTTGGTTATGGGTGTAACACAGCAGCCTGAGGCAGGTCATTCACAGTGACTCTGCCCAGAGCTGAGGAAAATCCCATAGTGCCTGAGTAACTGGGGATGAGGCATCTGAGTCTAACCCTACAAGCAACTTTGTGGGAACAGACTATTCTAGGTACTCTCCTTTCACCAACAGAGTATTTGGGACAAGTTTGGACTTGAATTGCTCTCTTGGACTGAAACAATGACATCACACTCCCAATAGACTCCTGGCAAATTTGTTTTTTTTTTTTTTTTGTCTTTTTCGTTTTTATCGGTACCAGGGATCGAACTCACGACTGCCTGCTTGCAAGGCAGGCGCTTATGCCGCTGAGCTAAATCCCCAGCCCCCTCCTGGCAAATTTGGACTTGGATGTTGGGAATAACTTTAGGCTCAGAGAGAATAAGCAACCTGCTTAAAATTTCTGGAAAGGCAAGCACAGACAAAGCCAGATTAGGAAAATTAGAATAAATATCTAACTTTCCAAAGCCCACATGA